AGAGCGATTCGTGAAGCGAAGACAGCGTATTCTCGGCCCGAACGGTTCAACTCTCAAAGCCCTCGAGCTGCTCACCAGCACATACATCCTGGTTCAGGGTAACACGGTGGCTGTGATGGGTCCTTTCAAGGGACTGAAGGAAGTGCGACGTATTATCGACGACTGCATGGCGAACATCCACCCCATTTACCACATCAAGGAATTGATGATCAAGCGCGAGCTCGCCAAGGACCCGACGCTGGCGGAAGAGTCCTGGGACCGGTTCCTGCCTAACTTCAAGAAGCGCACACTGTCCAAGCGCCACGTGCCGTTCAAGGTTACCGACAAGGCGAAGAAGGTTTACACGCCGTTCCCTCCTGCGCCGGAGAAGAGCAAGGTCGATTTGCAGATCGAGTCTGGAGAGTACTTCCTGTCAAAGGAGGCCAAGGAGCGCGTTCACAAGGAAGAGGTTGTCGAGCGACAGCGCATCAAGCGGGACGAGAAGATGCGCGAGCGCGAGAAGGACTTCATTGCTCCCGAGGAGGCAACGCCGGTCGATATCGAGGAAAAGCAGAGGAAGAAGGAAAAGAAGGAGAAGAAAGAGAAAAAGGAAAAGAAGGAAAAGAGCAAGCGGAAACGCGAGGCCGAGGAGGATGTCGATGCCGACGAGGCTGCCGAGCGCAAAGAGAAGAAGAAAAAGAAGAAGAGCAAGTCCAAGGAAGCTTCTTCCGATGGGGAATGATCTGCTCTTTGATTGTGGTATCGGTATCTTGTATCGGAATTGGCGCTTATGGCAGTGCATAGGTCTGGCGTTTAAATGTCTTGTCTCCTGGTTTCGTTGCAACGTTGCAACCCGTGTACGCCCCAAGCTGGTGTGTACATTTACAAAAAATATTGTTCAATACCAACAAATGATCTTCCTTCTAAATCTCGCCTGAGCGAACTAAATTCCGCGACAAGCAGCCCTGGGCTTTATGTTAAGGAGTTTTGAGATATCGTGGACTTATAAGTCATTGGAATGAGCATATCCGTCCTATATATGTGCATTATGTCTTCCTATCAATAGTTGTGTTTCGTAAAAGTCCGTTTTATATATTTTCAATTGCACTCGCGGCATGTATATCCAAAAGGCATCAGAGTGTCCCCCAAAACCATAGTCCCTATATAGACAAACACCAAAAAAAGTCAACCACCCATGATAGACCCGAAGACAGTAGTTCAGACCGCCGCTGAGGTCCGTTCATCGGAAGACGAAGATGCACTGGATTCTAACCGACGCAACTTATCCAACAAGAACCTCTCCTGTTCTTCCTGGCTTTTCTTTAAATCAACACCCCAGAACAGGATCAAGAAGCTGACAAGACTCAACGCAAACAAGAAGTAGAATGGCATCGACACATTGCCCGATGGACTGGCATCGATAATTGCACTTGAGACGAGGGGACCAATGAAAGACGAAGTCTTGCCAATGATGCTGAAGAGACTGAAAAATAGGAACTCGTGGCCGCGTGGTGTGACTTCTGAGATCATAATTTGAGAGTAGCTGTACCACGGGCAGATGAAAAGTCCGTAGAATGCTTGGTAGACCTATATGATCAATATTAGATATTGTTGCTCATATGGCAGAGCAGGATTGAGATTGACCCACCCAGACTTCCCATGAATTATGGAACCCGAACTTGTCGGTCCAGATACCGATCATGCCCCAGCCATCAAGCAGAATGATTCCAACGGCGATAGCGTTGAACATGGTTTTGGTTCCGAGCCTGAATCGTTGTTGGATTGTCCAAAATGCGTATATACCAACCGCCTAGGAGAGACTTGTCAGTTTACAACAAAATCGCCCAGGGAATTTAAGCTTACTTGTGCAGCAATACCAACAATAAGCAGGTATGTAAGTTCCAGGGTATTATAAGCAACAATGCTATTCTGCAAAGTTGCAATAACGGTCACACTGGTGTTGAGAGAGTCTCCAAGTAAGAAATAACCTATTGCCCGCACAGTTAGCACCGAATACCTAAACAACAGACAGACATAATAAAACACAAAGTCTTACCAATAAGATAGATCAGACTCTGCTTCAAGTGCCAGATCTGCTTCATAGCATACCACAGCTGCCATATGCCTGCAACAAGAATAGACCGTTTCCCAGGGTCTTGACCGGGACGGCGTTTCTCAAGCACAAACCACGGAATCGAGACAAGCAGCCATACACCAGAGACAAATGCAATTAGAACACTCAGTCCCCAATTGTTATTGCTCTCGCTATCATTGACCTTCAGCCCGAACATGATTCCCACAATAATCGCCAAAATAAAGATTTCCGCGACGGACTGAACATAGAAAGCGATATTGGCAAGTTTGCTGCGCATCATGGTGTCCGCATAGTCATACTCATCACGGGTAATTGTCCCCGCCACATATGCATCGGCCTTTTCCTTCATTTCGAGAGAATTGCGCGCCAATCCTGGGAACGCAGCGGTCCAGAAAGTGAGGGTAGTTTGATAGGCGATCAAGCCGACCATATATAAACCGACCGCGACATGCCATTTTTCTGAGGTGTGAACACCTAACCAGCCAAAGCCGATGGCATAGGCAATAATCGAGAGCCCGATCAAGATGTTGGGTCGCCAATAACCGAAATCGGCAAAACTGCCGATCACCAGGAATACCACGACTTGGATTGCGAAAGAGATTCCATTGGAGAGGAGCACGATGCTGTTGACCGTGCGTGGTCTACCTATAAAGTCGAGTAGTCCATTGTCCGGGGCTGCTTGGTAGAGCAGGTTCTGAAAAGCAGTTGGCGCGAAATCTAGAACAGTAATCGTCAGTTTCTGCTTCCTGTAAATTAAGATCTTGAGATCGCGGATAGACCCACTGAACAGCGACAAGCCATTATTTCCAATGTAATAGCTGCAGTCGTGGTGTTTAGTTTCCGCACAGGGACAATTCAACGATCCACGCACGCATAATAGGCCCAGATTTCCATCCGGGTGGTGCGGTATCTCTCATCGAATTGATCTGGTGCAGTCGGCTGGTCGATCTTTTGGGGAAGAACATCCACCTCCACAGTGGAGTGGACATTGTCTTTGTGCTGATCCCGATCCATGACTGTGGAAGAGAAAAGATGAGAGGAACAAAAAGAAAGGAGGGGAAAAAAAAGAAATAAAAAACAACCTTGGAACGGAATGGATGGGACGACCTAAGTCAGTAGTACGCCCGTATCAAACCCGGAAGAGAGCCAGTTGCATTGCAATAACAGTGCCGATCACGATAAACTGGATTGGGTCAGACTGGACTATATCGCGTTGGGTCTAGTTGGTGCTTCTAAAGTTAACTACTTCATCACAGTCCTATCAGAGCGTAGGATTTCTCAACTTCCGCATTCGGTGGCTTTTGGTGGCTTTTGGTGGCTTTTGCCGCTTAATTTTCTCGAATAGACACCTTAATGTCTCAGGCCAATTATAGGGCACCCATAACAATCTTACTTCACTCAGAGATAGATGCTACCTATTATATTAGTTAGTTCTATTACACTGAGATCATCTCAATTTCTCTCTCCTTGACCTTTCATAGCAAAGAACTGTAATGCATCTAATCAACTTATGACAGAGATCGTGAGGTTATCTGGCTGAAAGACGCCAGTCTGTGCCTGAACATCTGTTCTTTTAGTACGGGACCTTCTTATGGGACCTTTGCATAAGAGAATTGGTGCAAGGCTATTCCAACCATTTCTGACTTCTTGCAATCACTAGCCGATAAAGAGGGAGAGACAAGTACCAACATAGGCATATCTCGGTGCTTAGGATGATCAATCCTGCTAGCAAAGATTGCTTTGCTTTTCCAAACCCTGTTCCGTCAGCCAACATCCTCACAATTGAGAACCTATGGCGTAGACTTTCTATAAATGTGGTAACACTTGAAACATCTTGTAGATGAAAACCTGCTCGGAATTGAAGGAGTCGCGTGGAATTTAGGGGGGAAAACTTGCCGGACACGGAGTTAATGGGAGTCTGTGTAACAGCTTGGTGCTATGTATATATATATTTGAGTGGCTGGTGGTTGGGACGTCGACAAAGAGGTGCTTGTCTGAGGTTATATTTCCACAAGAGAGTTATTTGGGAATAGTTTGTGAATTGGGAACCAATGACAATTGAGCTACTGAGAGCTTATAATCTAAGAAGGGTGGAGCTCCAAAAAAGAGATATCTCTGTGTATGGTTCTTTGAGAGCCACGAGTTGAGGAGGGAAAGAAGCTTAGCTCTAATGCCGAGACTTGGAAATTTCAAAATTGCATGAGAACTCAGCGTAATATATAAAGAACGATAGAGGAGGGGACCTGGTGTATGATATAGCATATGGTATAATATACAATATTAATGGCAGGAGAGGAGAGATAGAGAAGAAGAAAACCGTACTCTCTACAAACAAACTGAGGCTTGTTAAATAGCCCGTGGAATCCCCAAAAACAAGGCAAGCTCGCTTAGTGAGAACAAATCAAAGCATAAAAGAGTGGAAACCTCTAGCAAATTCTAATTTTGTTCTCATAAACGGCAAATGCTTCTTGCTCGAATATAAATAGTTCTCCACGAAATTCTTCCTTCTATCCACAGAACTAACTCCACCTCCCCTATTTATATAGTGAAGTTTGTCCTTATCAATCAACTTGGTAGGCCACTTCTTGAAGCTGAAGCTGGAACCGATCCTAGTGGTTTTCACTCTATCTGTACCTCCTGGTCATGAAAGCTATACCCACTCCGTTGGAATAAGCCTGGTATGTGCTATAGCTTCTACTCCTACAGCTCACCTTGATATTCCGTCACTTACTGACACGCATTTTCTAGTGCTCAACTCTCACTTGCACCTACTACACATGCACACGGCTCAGTGAAAGCCCATTCCCAGGGTGTTACATAGCCTCTCGTTTGCTCAACTCTCACACTTTCTACATTTGCACTCTCTTCGCCTACCGTTCAAATTGACATCCGCCGATTAACCGCTGCATCCTAGTCTTCTGGCACTATGGAAGCCGCAATGCGAGCCGCTCTGAGGTACTAGTAGAAGAACCTCCCCTGCCAGTCGTGCCTCCCATGTCTGGCTCAGCTTCTAGACCCCTATTATATAGAATGGGTGATCAGGATCCCTAAATGTCACGCCTACGAAGCGAACGATATAAGCTACCTCAAATTCAATGCGGTATGTGTCGGCTGGATATTAAGTTAGGCTCACCTACCAACGTGACAGATCCCGGTGGCTGTGTGCACATGCATTTCAAGCTACGCGGTCGACTTCTGGGATATTCCCCGCCTACCTCAGGAACCCGATCAGCTCCACGCTGCTAGCAACCTGATGCGTGAACGTATCCGCAACTTTATCACTGCCGTGATTGAGTGCGGGCATGCATGACGTGTCGAGCCTCACAGCGCCACGAATGTGGGTATAGTATTAGTTTAAGTGCACGCGAATTTACTGACCCTGCTATATCAAGGCATCCGGAGACCAAGCTGCTGGTCCTATAGGGATTGAACAACTCCGACTTCGTAATCTTGATTGAAAAATCTTTGTCGAGCAATTGTTAGTTCACTGGTCTCAACAAATTCCATAGGCTCTACAGGGCATGCCACCCAACCTTGCTGCTCAAGCGTTGACTCCGAGGTTATCATGAGCAGAACCCAAACTTCTCACTGCTAAGCGAATGAAAGAAAGAGTACTCAGACATAACGATGCTGTGAGATGGGGTTTGAAATTTTATTAGATATAACATACGAGGAAAGAATATGATAGACTCATAAGTCTAATTTTTAGCAGTACATAAATGGTACCAGTACATAGATAGTACATAAAAAAAAGTAAAAAAATATTACATAAAATCAGCCGATCACCGACCATCTAATGATAGACCAAGGTGAGTATCACCCAATCACTCCGAATCGCCCATGAAAAATTGACATGCTTAGAAGGTCAAAGCAAGAGCGAAAGCAATCACCAGGGCACCGGCAGCAGAGCCGGCGACACGGGTGGCAGAGCTGAAGCTGGGGGAGGCGGAGGGTGAGGAAGAGTCGGTGCCGGTGCCAGAGCCAGAGCCGGAGCTGGAGCCTGAGCCGGAACCTGAGCCGGAACCAGAGCCGGAACCAGAGCCGGAGCCCAAGTCGCTGCCACCAGTGGCGACAGGGGAGGATCCAGCGGCGGTGCTAGAGGCGAAACCGGAGGCGGAGGGGCTCTTGGACTTGGGCTTGGTGGAGGGACGGACACCTACGGAGGGAACGGCGGTGTGGGAACCAGCAGGGGAGCTGGCAGGGCCAGAGGCGGAGGCGGAGCCAGAGCCAGAGTCGGAAGAGCCAGAGCCAGAGCCGGAAGAGCCAGAGCCAGAGCCGGAAGAGCCAGAGCCAGAGTTAGAGCCGGAGCCAGAGCCAGAGCCGGAGCCGGCGGAGGCAGTAGTGGTAGCAGAAGCGGCGGAAGTGGCACCGGAGACGGGGGTGCTGGAAGCAGCAGCAGAGCTGGAAGAGGAAGAGGCCTTGCAGCTCAGGTCATACAGAGGGGTGGTGTCGGTAGCAGAGCCAGTGACACCGAAGCTGGGGGAGGTAGTGCCAGCATCTTCAAGAATGTACCACCAGGTGTTGGTAACACCCAGAAGAGGGCAGGCAACCTCATCCCAGTACTGCTTGGCGTTGGGGATGCTGGCAACAGCGAGGTTCTCAGTGGGGCCGGTAGTAGGCCAGCCAGTCTCGGTGATCCAGATCTCCTTACCGCCGGCGACAGCCTTGGTGTTATCAACACCCTTGTTGAAGAGCGCCTTGGCGTCGTCGATGGAGTTGGGGTCGGTGTTCTCGTAGTATGGGTATCCATCGAAGCCGAGCCAATCAACGGCCTCGACGACGGCAGCGTTAGAGCCGTTGGTCCAGGAGTTCCAGGTGTCGACGTGGCCGATGGGGGCACCGCTCAGGGAAGTGCCGGAGATGGCGGAGCGGACCTGGTTGATGTAGTCGACAAGCTCGCGGGCATCGAGACCGGGACCCGCGTTGGACTTGACACCGATTTCGGAGTTACGGTAAAGATCTTCGCTGCCGACGGAGATACCGACGACAAGGTCAGTGAAGGCACTGCCGTAGGTGGAAATGGCGTTGGTGAGAGCAGCAATCTCGTTGCTCATGTCACCACCGGAAGCCCAGAGACCCAGGAGAAGGGTGGTCTTCTCCTTGATAGCAGCCGGAATGGCCGAGATGGGACCGTTAGTTGTGCCACCCTGAATCATGGTGTACAGACGGGCACTGGTGAAGGCATGGTCGGTACCAACGAGGTTCTTAGCAGTGGAAAACTCGGTCTCGAAGTCAGCTTGGGTCTTGAGGCTGCCATCGACCTTGAGGGCGCCGTAGTTGAAGCCGGTAGCGACGGCCTCGGAGGTAGCGACGGCCATCGCAAGGGCAAGGAACTGAGCGGAACGCATTTTGAATGGAAAGTTGTTAACGAGAGTTGATATTCAGATGAGAATAGAACCTGGGTTAAAAGAATGTAGCCAGGGGTATTCTTAAAGACGAAATGGCAGTAGAAAGTAGAGTGAAAGTGAAAGATGAAAATGCAAACGGAAGAGAAGTAGCCTCTTCTAAAGCCTTCTAAAGACCGGAAGCCCTCTGAAGACCGAAAGCAAGGTTCTACAAATGAAAATTCAGTCTAGATTCCGCCACAGCGTAGTTCTGTGGATCCTATGGGTCAGAACACGTTGGCTTACCCACTTTAATTCAAATTTAAACCCGCCGATTGGCTGAACTATTAATTGGCTGATTCCAAAAATATGCATGAGCTGTGGGGCTTGATGAATCCATGGATCCAACGACCGCATTTGACGATTTGCCCGATCTCCCCGGATAATTCTATCCGGCTTTGAACACAAAGCGACCATTCATAATTCAGCCTGAATAAAATTCATTTTCATTTTATTGCATTGGGTATATATACATCTTAGCGGGTCAAAGACACCTTGAGTATACGTGGGAAGTATTGTACCTTGCAGACCCTACTTAGTATGCAGGAATATGACACACCCTGGTGGAGAATCGCGTGTCATTGCATGACTAAACCCTTGGGTTTCCGACCTCGGGAGGTTCCAAAGATCAGGGGTTTACTAATGTCTCCTATACAGTCTATTATTAGCCAACACCCCTTTAAGCTCAACCCTCAATAGATTAATGATCGGCCCGTAAGAGCACCATTAATGTCGTAGTCGACTGTGCCATTGTCGATTCGACGTTGTATGTACGGAGTACTCCGTAGATGTCAAACAATGTCTTTTAATATTGGTTTTTCTGCCATAGTCGCATAATTACCATTCCAGCACATGCAGATGACTCCGTTATATTTTGATACTCCGTGTGAAGTACAACCGCACCAATTAAAATACATCGTAGTTTGGACTACTCCGTACTTTGTACCCTTGTCCAAGGCACTGACTGCTCGTACCTGCTTTCGGGACGAAAAAAAATAGTGCGGTAGCTCACACACTTCGTGTTCGAGGTCGGCCTAGCTTAATGTTTTACCCAGAGACCCAGAGACTTTGGCTTTGTCGATCTTATTGAAGTTTGAGTGAATGTCTTAGGTGGTGGACACCTGATTGAAAAATATTCCCCAGGGGATGGTTATTATATGCTTGTAGCTACCACGGAGTAGTTTTCACGAAACCGCATGATCTGGAGGCTGTGTGGAGGGTCCGTGATTGTAGTAGTAAGACCAATGTTGATGCCGAAGACTGAGAAGTAGCGAGGTGTCATGATTATCTCAAATACTCGCATTCAATTGGAAGGTCATAGAGTTTCGGCATGTCTTTCATGTCATTTGTTGCTTTGACTCTGGCTTGTCTCTCTCTGCGTACTTTTGTTTTCCATATACTTTGCATCATCTTTTGAAAATGGATGGCTTAGATTCTTGAATAAAGGGGCCTCAATATTCATCTTTGCCCAGCCCTAGCCCCTTAGGCTTCAAAAACTGCCATCATTCCAAATTCTAATTACAGTCTCGCATTAACTCGAGTGACTGGTATAGAGTAGTCCAACGTCATGACACTACTTGGCGCCTTGGCTATCTTAGGTACCTACATATTTATGCGTGAATTATTAGGTTTAAAACACATATTTCGGGATCAATAATGAGTAATTATGGGGGAAACTCCTGTTCAAACACTAACCAATACTAATTTGCAATTCATCAATCTTTATTAACTGGTTAGTTATATAGAATTGGGCTTTACACATATTTTACTATGCTATATTTAGCAACTGTCTGCTATCTGCGATAACCAACTCTAGAAGTGGGGTAATTGTCCAACATCGAAGGTGCCTCAAGTTCCCTTTTCTCTACATCAATCTGAAATCATGACAATAACCAAAGAAAAGGTACAGGAGATCTTGAACAAAGCTGCCCTGCGCTATCGAGGCCCAGGGGGTGCGATCGCTGTTGTCAAAGATGGCGAGGTCATCGGCCAGCGCATCTGGGGATTCGCCCACCTGGACGAACGCATCCCCATGACACCTGAAATGCAGTTACCCATCTGTTCAATTACTAAACAATTTGTCTGTGCACTATTGATTGACCTGGAGCGCAACCCAACACCAACACTAGCTGCAAAAGGCGATTTCCGGAAACAGCTCTCAGACCACCTCACCGAAATACTAAGCCCGGAGCTCACCCGTGACGGTGACCTGACAATCGACCAGCTATGTGACATGCAATCCGGTATGCGCGACTACTGGGCTATGACCACGCTGTGGGGGTCCAAGCCCGACGACGAGTTCCTGCTAGCCCGAGACTGCGGTCCAATGCTCGCTCGAAGCAAGTCATTCCAGTTCGCGCCGGGAACGGAATATTCCTACTGCAATGTCAACTTCCACATCGTCGCCAGAGTAATTGAGCGGGCTACGGGGGAGCCTCTTGACAAATTGCTCAAAGAGCGAATCCTCCGCCCGGCTGGTATGAGCACGGCATCCCTTTGTCCTTACACCGCATATCACCCACCGCCGTGTGTCGGCTATGAGGGCGACGAGCAGCATGGTTTTACAGCGGCCGTCAATAGAATAGAATGGTCTGGTGATGCTGGATTAGTTGCCTCACTCACTGATATGATCGCGTACGAGAAGTATCTCGATCAATGTTATGCTGATCCGCAGAGCTGGTACCGTGCCGCTATTGCTGATCCGAAGTTCAAAGATGGTACCCCTGCGAGGTATCGGTATGGGCTAAGTCACACTGACATCGATGGCGTGAATACGATCGGTCATGGTGGAGCGTTGCGAGGATATCGACTGCACCGGCGACACGCACCAGAAGAGCGCTTGTCTGTCGTCGTTATGTTTAACAGTGACACCAGCGCATTCGGTCCCAACATTGATATATTCCGAGAGCTGTTAGAGCTACCTAAGCCTGCGCCAGCATCGATTCAGCCGGCTGCGAGTTGGGTTGGCGCGTTCCTTGACCAGGATACCAAGCTGTCGATTGTTATCACCAAGGGCACACGGGAGGGAGAAGTGGCCATCAGCTACGATGGCGCTCCTGAACCTATCAAGCTTAGTACACCGAATCATGGGAAGTCTGATTCTATGGTTGCGACGGTTGATGGAGATTTGTTGACTATTCATCGCGTGGGAGATAACCGGATACTCAGTGCTCGGCGTGTTGTTCCGAATGAATCAATTCTTAAAGATGCTTCATTCCAGGGTGTCTACCACTGCGCCGAGATTGAATCTACCTTCCATTGCATTGGCGAGGATGGCGTGTTATATGGTGCATTTGATGGATATCTGGGTCGAGGAAATGCAACTCCAATGAAATATCTGGGAGATGATGTTTGGGTCTTGACTTGTCCACGCGGTTTGGATGCGCCAGCTCCAGGAGACTGGACCATTGTCTTTTCTCGGGATGAGCATAATGCAATTCAAGGGTTTACGATTGGCTGTTGGTTGGCTAGGAAGGTTGACTACGTGAAGAAACCCTGATAATTCTATTCTACTACCTGGAACCAAATACAATCAAGTATAATATTTGCTTTGTTATATATATGTATACACTCACAGAGTCTCCTTCCGATAGCAATGACTCTATATACTGGGGTGCGATCCAGAGGTTGGCGTGTGCGATGCGTAGCAGTTTTCCGAGGAAGCTTGCTTTTCGCATATTCGTCACCCACTCTGCAATTTGACCGTCACGTAATTCGAATGATGACAAAAACCTTGTGTGCCCGACTTGTAGCATTACGGTCGGCATTGAAGCCGACGCTCCTCAAAATACAAATCGAGACTTAGCTTTCCAGAACAGCTCTTGACCTTTTCTTCACCACGGTTACCCCTAAACACATCCCCAACCCTCCAGCCAGATCTCTTAAACTGCATAATCAATGACTTCCCTGATATGATTGCAGTACCTCTTTGATATGTATGTAGATCGGAGTAGCCCTTCTCTCCGGATTGAAATGTATCAGTCCTCGTTAACGATGAGGTGGCAAATTTTGAGCCTGTCCATCCATTTCTTGTGATAAAGCGCTGGGGGACCTTGGAAGGACATCCAAACACATATACTTTCTTGTTTTCTTCTTGCGCCTCAGGCCTGATATCTGGTGGCGTTCTTGGCTTTCTGGACCTTATCTCTAGGCCAATCCCTCCTTCCTGTAGCCATGTATTCGGAATCGCATGCTTGAAATCAACTTTCAACAAATAATCGCGTCGGCTTAGGATCGGAAAGGTAGTCTGATTGTTGGACGAAATAGTGTGGTGAAGCAGCTCGTCTCGAAACATTTACATCGGACGCAAGCCTTTTCGCTTTGGCACCAGGCCAGTACGCAGCTATTTTGACCCTAGAGTACCCAGTGGCTGTTGATTGCTTGAATTCTCTCACATACTTCCCAGCGGCCTTCCTCAAAAGGCCCCTCCCATACTACGCCGGGTTGGAGTATGGACCTTATTGGTGCAATGTCGGGCACTAGGTCGTGTCGTATCCCGGTATCTGTGAAGTCTGCAGACCGTACATCTATCGAGTGTATTCTCGCGCAGCGTATGACAGCAGCTTCAGCCTCGAAGGATTCCTATTTCGTTTGGTTGGTAAAAATGCCATCGTCTTGCTATCGAGACGCGTGTGTAGGTTCATACCGCGATGTTGACAACGGGCGGGCCACCTGACCCACCCCTAGCCGCAGCTTTTCCACCAATTTCATGCTTCCGCCGTGGGTTCGATGACTTTGGACACGCACGCGCGTCCTCTGTCCGTGGTGGTATATTTGCCCGCTTGCTGGGTGTGTAGAGCCTTCAAGGCGGGAGGGGTAACCTCATGGATCGAGATGTGGGGGATAGGTAGAGATTTCAAAAAGGTAGAAAGGAAAACAAGAAAAATAACACGGACATAGAGCAGAAGAGAGGGAAGGAGGTGGATGGATTTGGGTCGTACCTTCCTTATATGCACATACATACTAGCCACATGAGAAGGTTCAAGAATATGGAAAATAGAGGAAACTAAAAAAAGACCCCTAAAAGACAAAGCGGGATAAAGCGATAATATTCAGAACTAATTGGAAGGAAATTCACAGAATCTAACATCTTGTTTCGGAGTAATTTTCTAGGGCAAACTTGGTCGAATTACCTGCTTAGACGGTTGACCTTTTCTCTATCAAGTACTCATCGCAAAAGTATATATCAGTCACATCTGACATCTTTGAAATACAATTTCGGGCAATGAGAAATCAATTACACCCACTTGCTATGGAGTATCGAAGTCACATATTAGTATTCAATGTGTACAGAGAAATATATACAATTTGTATCAACATAGTTATGCTTAATGCTCAGAAACAAAGATACCAGCCATCCCCATGCCCTATTGGAAGTAATTAGTATATCCGAAGATTGAACAGATGCTGATTGGAGGTAACTTACAGTGCCAATACACATCGAGGTCACGGCGACTCGCTTATCCTGTCGACGCAGCTCAGACATAGCAGTGACGATCTGGCGTGCGCCAGTGGCGCCCAGAGGGTGACCGAAAGCACTTTGAAATATCAGCATGGTACCAATCAAGTGAGATCGAAGGTCACTTACATAGCACCGCCACGAGGGTTCACCTTAGATTCATCCAAGGCCAGCTTGTTGACACAGTAAACACCCTAATGATGTCTGTTAGTCTCGCACAGTAGTCACATACTCGGTAGACTTACCATTGAGGCGAAGGCCTCATTAATCTCAAAAATATCAATGTCATCCTTGCTCAGGTTGAACTTGTTCAGGATCTTAGGGATGGCAACAGATGGGCCAATACCCATGATTCTGGGCTCCAAGCCAGCAACAGTAGCGCCACAGAACTTGGCAACAATACGCTGACCGAGTTGATGGGCACGCGAGCGCTTCATGAGAACCAGCGCAGCAGCACCGTCGGTAATCTGACTGGCGTTACCACCAGTGGTAGCACTGGGAGCCCACTGGGGGAAAGCAGCGCGGATCTTGCCAAGGGACTCGGCGGTAGTACCGTAGCGGACGCCATCGTCACGGTCAACGACAATACTCTTAACCTCGCCGGTCTTGGGGTCCTTAAATTGAGTCTTGACGGGGACGATCTCGTCCTGCAGCCAGCCGGCCTTCTGGGCGTGCTCAGCCTTCTGGAAACTCTTGGCAGCGAACTTGTCGTGCTGCTCGCGTGAGATGTTGAACTGGTTAGCTACGTTCTCTGAGGTCTGGCCCATGGGCTGGGAGTTCTGGGATGCGATCGGGTGCTTGGTGATCATCTCGGACATTTCGGGGGCGCCGCCGTCGGCGTTCTTGCTCATGCTCTCGGCTCCAACGGCCACTCCGACATCGATGGATCCAGCGATGATTTGGTTGGCGATATTTTGAACGGCCAAGAGACCGGAAGAGCAGAATCGGTTGACGACGGAGGCTGCTGTTGTTACGGGGTAGCCTGCTGCCAGTACGGCAGAACGGGCGACATATGCGGAGCCGGGGCAGAGGACGTTGCCAACGCAGACATCTTCAACAAGGTTGGGATCCAACATGGACTTCTCACGGACGGTCTTTTTTGGTAAATTAGTTACTGCATTCTGTCTCATTATAGAGGTAAAATTTACCGTAAGAAGTGACACGAGGAGTTCATCCACGGGTGTATCCTTCAATCCACCCTTACGGGCCTTGGTGAGCGGCGTGCGGGCCAGGTAAGTGATGACCTGCCAATTTATTAATTATTGTATTGAAGTTATAGCTACGATCAGCAACATACCACATCATCTGGGTTCTTAGCTAGAAGCTTTTGGCGGGCCGAGCCAGGAGTTGCCAGCTGGTTGGCGACGGAACTTAAACGTTGTTGTGGTGAAGACATTATAGGCAAGAATATATGTAGAACAAAGATAAAAAAAGAAGACCGAACGTTTTAATAACTATCTGGATATCTTTCAGGTGCTAAAAAGAACCGCGGCTTCTCCAACCTTCTCCACACTTGAGCCGAGATGACAATCTCCAAGTGTCTTTTGCTCCGACAAATTTGAGCCGACTGGAAGTGCCGGGACTTCGGTGGTCACACGGTGTATGATACCGTTATTTTGTATCCCTCGGCTTGGAATACGAGACGATGATTGGTGCAATTTCGGTATCCGAGACGTTTCATGGCCCCACATGTACATTGACAGGCTTGCTCATTGGGGAGTATAGTATTCACAGTGGGGGATTCGGGAATGCTCCGATGTCTTCAAACGACCGTGATATCGTGGTATGGCCTCATTTTTACAGAACAATACTTAAGCTCTGGAAATAAATGTTGATTGAAACCGGGGCAAGCTCAGCTAAGTCCGGGGATAGCAATACGGGGGATTTCCGCGCAGAGACTCCACTGCGAAGTAGCCAAGTTAGCCAATCTGAAGCGCCGTTTAGGAGATTGGTTATCGATATTATTAACGGCAGATGGAGCTTGACTAGCTTCCGTCTGAAGAGAGCCCCGAGGCCTGGTGATCTTTATATCCGTCGCCATGCCGGTTTTTGAGAGCTTGGGAATTTCCAGGAGAAAAGACGATACATACTCCCCATCGCTGTCGAAATATCGAATGCTTGTTGAACTGAATCCTAACAAGAAACGAAGAACTCAACTACTGTTCCAATGGACATTTTCTCCGAAGTCGGCGCGCCTGCTGTGGCAGTGGCATCCGCCTTGTCAGTGGCCGCCGGTGCATATCTGAATGCGAAGCTTGCCATTTCCACTGATTTGCGAACAATCGCCAACGACAAGGCTAGCGCGAAGCGGTTAGACCAGCGCATTGCTGAGCTCGATGGCTCACCAACAATCTACAAGATACTCGAGCGGGTGGTAGAAGTTGAAGGACGAGGTGTTGCCGATGCGCTCTGGTTCGAGCAGAAGACGTGGTCATACAGCCAATTGAAAGACTGTCGGTACCATCCCTTCGTTCGGAGAAAATGTTGCATCGATTGCTAATGCGCCAGTCTACAGTGGTCGATAGAATGGCTGCTCTTTTGAAGAGCCGTGATATCAACACCGGTGATACAGTGGCTGTTTTTACCACCAACTCCCCGGAGATGGTCGTGGTTCTGTATGCTCTGTCGAAATTGGGCGCCGTAGCAGCGATGATCAACACCAGTCTGCGAGGTTTGTTGATGATTGAATTCCAATCCACGAGAATAGACAGCTGACTCTAGTGACAAGACGATACCTTCATCCATTGTCTCAACGTCTCCAAGTCCAAATTCATCATCTCAACCGCAGATCTGGCCCAGTACACCTCCATCGACCTACCACACTTCACATTTAACATGGGATCATTCGAAGGTTCCGAAACAGGCGAAACAGAGCTCGTCACCTCGGAAACTCTCCAGCAATTCTCCCCATCAGGACTTTCAGCAGCCAAGCGCACCACGAAAGACATTTGCGTCCTAGTCTACACATCAGGAACAACCGGAAAACCCAAAGCCTGCGCAATCCGCAACCTGCTCTCCATGACCACCGCCACCCCACTCTCAGTGGACGCCAACAACCCCGCAAAGTACTACCCACTCCGCGTATACTCCCCTCTCCCCCTCTTCCATGGCACAGCCTTCTTCACTGGCCTATGCGTCGCCGTCGGCCACGGGGGCACGCTATGTCTTGGACGAAAATTCTCCGCCTCGCGGTTCTGGAAAGAGGTGCACGACTCAGGCGCAACCCGCATCCTGTATATCGGCGAGTTATGTCGGTACCTTCTCGCGACGCCGCCATCACCCTACGACCAAGACCACAACTGCATCGTGGCAACCGGTAACGGGCTGCGCGGGGAGATCTGGGAGAAGTTCCGTACGCGTTTCAACATTCCCGAGATTCGTGAGTTCTACCGCTCAACCGAAGGAATTGCGAAATTTGATAACCACGGTGTTGGAACTTGGGGTGCGGGCAAGATCGGGTTTTCGGGGCCTATTCGTCGGTCCATGGAAGATGTTACTTTCATCGTTAAGTATGATACTGATAAAGAGATGCCGTATCGGGATCCTGTTACTGGGTTCTGTGTGAAGGCTGCGCTTGGAGAGGAGGGTGAGGCAATTGGTCGTGTCCGGGACCGTGGTACCCTGATTGAGTATCTGGGTAATGAGAGTGCTACGGAAGAGAAGCTTCTGCGTGATGTGTTTCAGAAGGGAGATTTATTCCAGCGCACTGGTGATCTGGTCGTTCAAGATGAATCTGGATGGGTGAGGTTCCAGGATCGGGTTGGTGACACTTTCCGCTGGAAGGGTGAGAATGTTAGTGCAGGAGAGATTCGGGACCATATTTGCCGGATTGAGGGTGTACATGACGCTGTGGTATATGGTGTGAAGCTTGCCGGGTATGTATTGTGGCCGCCGTAAACCTTTTGCTTTTGCTGAGGTCGCATTGCTAATGGTCTCTACTAGGTATGATGGCCAAGCTGGAGCTGCTGGTATCACCCTGGAATCACCAGCAGCTGGGACAGAGTTCATGTCGAACTTGTACAATGAGCTCAAGAAGAAGGGTGTTCCTTCATACGCTTTACCTCGATTGGTCCGACTCACTGAGAAGTAAGCATTTCCTTAGTTGCGATAATTTGGTCTCGTCGCTAATCAAGATATATTCTACAGGGTTGCCACGGGTGTCACTTTCAAGCAGGCTAAAGGTGACCTAGCAAAGAGGGGCTGGAATCCTAGACAGGACAATGGCGGCGACATTTTATACTGGCTAGACGGCACAAAGTATCAGAAGCTGGAAGAGCAAAGTTGGGAACATATTGAGAGTGGTAAAGCCAAGATCTGAGCCTTTACTCTTTATAATACGCCCAATGCTTGTCCTTGTTATAGCAAGCATCCATATATATATATACCTCTAGAATTGGGCTGCCTAATCACAAATCATATTCCTCAAGTCTCACACAATAAACTCGATGTAAACAAGCTGATAAGGTTGCAGTGGGTGGGTCCACCTGCAAGTGGGACCAAAACATGGTAGCAATAGTGGGGCCCAGGGGGGATTTATATGAAGTTAAGATCTTTCCTAGTGTATGAATCCAGGTGGTGTAGTAGTTAAGAGCAACGTCTAATTGAGAAATGTCCAATCGTTTGCTCTAATGAGGCTCCTCCCTAGGTTCGATTCCCCTTGAAAGCTTGAGCCTATCGCTGGGAATCGCCCTCTTCCTTTTTTTTTAACTGTTGTTTTTTTTATAAAAACAAAGATGAGTTAGGTATACCAAAAAGAGGAAACTAAGGAATGACAACACTTGCATCGTTTACTCGTCAATCGATATCATGAGTGTTGATTACTCCAGTGGAAGCGAAAGGCACGGGTAAACGAATGGTTGGTTGATGGAAGGACATACCTAAGTCAACCTATGCGCCATGTGAGACATGACGCGTCCATTATGTTGTACGAACAGAAAAGCTGATTGTATTGGGTAAATTGCCCTCCTGTATATATACCCTACCTCGAACTGATATCTATCTAAGAAGGAAAAAAAAAAAGAAGAGGGGATCCCCAGTAGTGCATAGCCTTAAGGCTGTCACACCACGAACTTTTGGTTCTTAAGGGGATCGAACCGAGGGAGGGGCCTCATTAAGAGCAAACTATTGGACATTGCTCAATTAGATGCTGCTCTTGACTACTACACCACCTGGATTCGATACTAGGAAAGATCTTAACTTGTTTATACCCCCCACAATGAGACACAATGAAGCTTCAGTAGTTCGAGATTTCCTTTCGCATAGATAAATATCCATACATTTGATTTCCTTAGATCTTCCCCTTATTCCTGTGGTAATTGTGAAAGCTTGTCCCACAAGTCCCAGAGGCGCAGCCTCAGCACAGCCACGTTAGGCTTCTTTAGTAAGAGATCCCGTGATATGGATAGATCTCCCATTTCCCACCTGTGGTTGATGTTTACAGTTTTCATACACAGGGAGTTCCCATATAGAGTTGAAGTCGTTGAAGCTCCAAATGGAATCTATCAAACATCTCTTTCATTATTTGACCACATTGGAGTGGACAGAGAAAGTCCAACATATATGCAAGTTTTGCGATTCGTCAAACTTTGCTAGTATTGTTTATGAGGTGAGTCACTCAGTGTCAAATTCGATACCAGAACTAACAGGTGGGATATCCAGGATGATGAGTTGATCGCAGTTGATAATATCCGCCCCGCTGGGCAACATCACTGGCTGATTATGCCGAAACTGCACACAATCCGAGACATAGAAGGCCTGAATAAAAACCATCTTACCCTTTGTGAGCAATATGATAATCCGAGCCAATACTTAGCGAATGTGGCTCACTATCGCTGTTGTTATATTTACTAGTGCACGCTATGGATGATGTGAAACATCATCTGCTTCGAGCTTGGTGTCCTGAACTACCCTCCTCAGCCATACATTCGGGGTATCACCGCGGGCGACGACCACTTTTGGGAAATATATATTATCCAGATATCATCTCGGTTCATCATTTACATCTCCACGTCATTGTCAAACCGTTGCTGTTTGGTTGGCTTTTTAAGTATCCCACATGGCTGCCACTTATGTGGAAGTCGGATACTCGAGTGATGCGGGAAGTACAAAAACAAATCAGGACAGCTGTTGTTTCATAATAAGATGATGCGAACTGGATTTCGACATTTTCCGCCGAGAAAATTTGACAATTTGGGACACAAGCTTCCAACGAATGTCAGGACCAAGCGTACTTGTTTCGAGCCGAAAGCGACAAAAATAATTCCTAAATGTCCACCTGGCAGGTTGTTGATCTAATGGCATCGCCGATCATTGATAAGGAGATTGGAGAATAGTGGGTCAGATAAACTCCCCCGCCTCTATGAGATGAGAGGTGACAACTTCACAGATCTCAGTAGTAGAAAAAGATGAATTAATAAATTGAGATTATACGGAACAATTTCTTGCCATAACAGGGATTTTCTCCTCCTCAGCCATGCCCTGCAGGTACACGGGGCGAATAACAATTGGGGCGACAGAAATGGTATAGATCTGCTCCAGGATCACGTGCGGAGGCGTCATCAAGTGACTCTTCCAGGGTTTCTCCTCACCCCAACTTTTATCTTCCTCTCGTGATCCCAACTCCGCACCTTGTTTGAGCTAGAATCCACTCTTTTCGCGAAATTCAACTGCACATACCCGACAGATCTACCATCTGCGTTTCCCCAAATACGGCCATCGCAGCCATGAAGTTCTTATCAGCTGCCAGCCTCTTGGTTCTTACCGCTCCTCTTGCAAGCGCAGCCGCATTCTCTATCTTCGATCCCACACAGGCTTCTCTGAAGGTGACCGATGATGAGAAGTTCCCAGTGAAGGGCGAAAACCCATTGCAGTATTGTGCCAAGCCAGACAATTACAAACTCGAGATTGAGTCGGTGGATTTGGCACCCAACCCACCTCTACCGTATGTCATCCACGCAGAGTGCTCTCCCAATGTGGTATATTTCACTAGCTAACATCTTGGTGGTAACAGAGGAAAGAAGTTAACAATCTCCGCCAAAGGCACCTTGCTCGAGAGAATCGAGAAGGGCGCTACCGTGAACCTGGAAGTGAAGTGGGGCCTTATCACTTTGATCAAGCAGACCGTCGACCTATGCGATGAGCTTAAGAACGTGGACCTGGAGTGTCCCCTAGAGAAGGGAGAGATGATTTTGACGAAGGAGGTGGACTTGCCCCAGCAGATCCCACCGGTATGTTATCTTTACCACTGTTTCAGAGCTAAGCAAGCAGCTAACGTGTTTTTTTACAGGGCAAATACTCCGTTCTTGCCGATGTCTATAACAAGGAGCAGAAGCAGGTCACCTGTCTCAAGGCAAATGACATTGTATTCCACTTCTAATCCCGTCTATCTTGATCATTGCTTTGCATCCACTAACCAGGTGGCATCTCTCGATTTGCTCAACTGTCAACGTCATTAGCTTATGTGCTCGACTCGGAGGTTGAACATCCGCAATGCTCTTTCCCATGCCCTTCTCATGACTACTTCAATGTTCGCATCTGTTGTTTTGCTTTGCAGTACCTTCGGATATCATTTGGACTTTCTCATTTTTACGCTCTTTACATATGTTGTCGTTTTTCCAATCGTCTGTATAGACCATAATGAGTACGACTGTAAGCATGGCAGCTACATCTGTCTGTGACTACAATATACAATCACGTCATCCCCACCGACCACGTAACGTATGTTGAATAGATTTCGTAGTGGCGAAGAGAATATATACGAATTCGTTCCAGTTGCGTTGGGTATCTTCCCTATCTGATATTTCCATGATTTCTTCCCAATTATGCTCGCGCCGAGATCATCAATGATGAACCAAAGGTGTTGCGCAGACCAATTCACCACCTCCCGGCTAAATGACAAGGACAAAGATCCGTGCAAAACAAGCCTACTCTCCAAACAGGCGGCGGACGCGCTTGAGCACGCTGTCCTTCTCTGGGTCGTAGGGGTGGTCTTTGCTGGGGATTTCGAGGACAGCTGGGAAAGGATCGGCGAATGCGTCGACGATATGGCGGATGCGTTCTGCGATCTGAGGTTGATATATCTGTTAGCTGATATCTAGGTAACAAAATGTGCGCGCTGTAACTTTTGAGGGTGAGGGTAAGATATGGAGAAGCAACGTACATGCTGGTTAATCAAGAGCACAGCAATGTCTTTCCTCTCCTGGGTGAAGTTCTGGAAGGCACGTTCGATGTCCGAGGTCTCGGTCTTGGAGTCAACGACAAGGAAGTTTCTCTGGGAGGCTGGTGGTTCGGTAACATGCTGCAACAAGAGCCAGCAGGTTAGCATATCTTTTTATATAAATGCCATAGAGACGTGACGTAGATGGGGTAGTGAACAGTATCATACCCCGATGCCTGCGAGCAAAAGACCAGTAACGGAGCTGCACAATAGGTTGAGATAGGTTAGCTGGACATGACCTTTTTGAGTATGAACAAGCTGTAAGCAGGGTCTTTACTCTTCATCACCAATGACAGCAAGGAATTGCCGCTCCTGGAGTACCAAGTTAGCGACCGGAGGGGTCATTGCATTTGATGTCAAGTACCTTGTATGTTGCGGCCGATGCCGCCATGATGAGGAGAAAGAAAAGAACAACCTGAGATTTCCGAGATACACAATCTTCTAACTGGCAGTTCAAAATGAATCAAGCAAATGACAGATCTGGTCCAGCTGTTCGTTGATCGCCGTGATTATCGCCGGGAGCTGGAAATTACATAAGCTGATGCAATCTCCAATGATTTGTTTACTCCAAGGGCTTCATTGTCCACAAAACAATCCTGGAATCTTTGACTCAATCGCCCCTCACTGTTGATGCCCTCGTATAATCTTCTGGATTAAGACGAGGCTGCTGAGGAACAGCTTCCGTCTACTACGCCCCCAATCCTCCGACATCATGCCTCGACTTGTACGCCGCCGCCCGCTCTCCGAGCGCATACTCTCACGCCTGAATCCATATGATTTTCTGCTTTGGCTTTCTGAGGAATTTGAAGGTGGAGACTGGGATCAGTTGGAGAAAAATTGGGCTTTACCTATCGGTATCGCGCTGAACGTGATATTCCTTATTGCGCGAGCAAATAGTCGGTTCGGTAGTAGCAAGGCTTTTGACGATGTGTTCGGCGACGATGAAGGCACCTCCCTGCGTGGATGGCTTGTATGTTACCCTTCTCACATCTATCTCCCTCTTATGTTGTCTGCCTATTCCTGAGATTGATGGATGGAAAGCTAATCCGCCATGTTTGTTCTGCCTAGGCCTCATTCATCGTCCATTTGATGGCCCTTGCCTCTGTGGTAAATGCTGGCTACACATTCTCGAAGAAGAGACGCTATCGCCTGTTTGAGAACTCTATTGATAACCATCCGGCGACCCCATCGGCACATCGTGTACGCGTTGATTCAAGCCCCAGAATGCCATCTCCTCTTCGGTACATCGCTAGGGCGGTATCATCAGAATCGGCACACTCGAGAGCACACCCCGATCCACAGCGGGATGTCTGGGAGCTTGCAATTTGGGATCCTTCACCACTCTGCCTCCGGCTCTTTTGCCTGTTCAGTCCAGGGCACGTCTTAGTATACTGGCTGTTCCTCCCAACACAGCTTTCCGACCCACGACCCAGTGTGACGATTGTGACGACGATTGTTTTGGCAACTCTTCTATCCGTGCAAATGTCCTTCATCTCTTCTTCTTATAAACAGCAGGCCAAGGACCAGAAGGTTATACACAAGGAGGTCTTCAAAGAATATGACACCAAATATGTTCAACCTCGGACACATCCCTTGATGAGAGATGTTGGCACGCAGTTCTCGGATCCGTCTGGTGAAGCACCGAAGACCGAGGACGAATGCAACAGAGTTGAGACTTATACCCCGGCTGTCATCATTAATCGTGGTTTCCAGACCAGTCCCAACCCTAATTACCTCAAGCACGTTGACCCAGAAGGTTTCACCCCGGTCCGCCAATTGACTACATCTACCCCGATCTCCTCTATGTTCCAAGGCCCACCGACCAACACCCCGAGCATGTCCAGAGATGGCTCGCCAATGCCGCGAGGCACCAACCGCACAACAATGCGACAGCCGCAGTTCCGATCTACTGCAACAACCACAGGCGACGGAGGCAGCCTTGGTGTTTACAGCCACGCAAACTCCCCACTGAGGAAGTCCGCGACAACTTCATTTGACCGCCGCTTACAAAACAATGGAGACTTTGTTTACAAAGAGCGTGGTACAACTCCATTGATGCGCAACTCTAGTCCGCTGAAAAGAAGCAGTGTACCAGGAGGAATGAACCCAGGTGGCCCAGCCACCGTCAATAGATCAGATAGCCTCGACTCTCGCCGAGAAACGGGGCGCTTCTAAGACGAATATGAATGATCAAATTCCATTTCAACAAGCAAGAACCACTGCCAACTCAAATGCATCAGATGCGCAGTTTCCTCCGAGGCATGCACGGCAAGGACGCGATAGCAACACCCTTCGTACATATATCTTATCCTTAATCAAGGCCATATGCAATACAGCTTTACATTCGACGTTTATTTCACGGTATTCCAGCACGTGCGCCCCGCTGGGGAATGCAAATTGCTCATCTAGGGAGCCTGCCGAAATTAGGCCCCATGGCATTTTTGTGATTTCCGATCGCTGCATGTTGATCTTTGATTTGATCGACATGGCCATTCTGTTCAATTCAATTGATGAACAGTTTGTCTCCGGGTTCTTAATTTGGCAGTCTGCTACGTCCATGCTGTTATCTAGATGCCTGGATCGCGCTTTCTCTTCAACATGCAGCCCTCGCAACTTCCAAATAAGCTGCAATTTAGTTTTAAATGCGAGACTAAGAGCAAATTGCCATTCCAAATGGCGGCGGGGCATTACAAGCCACATTCATCCCAGGGGTTAGCATTCCTCATTACCGACCCAGCATTCCGGCCAACGAGAACACATTATTCTTACGCTATGAGCAACTACCTATGAAGATTTCTCGAGAGCAAGCCTCTTTGAGCGCCCCGCTCTTTTGAGTTCGTCATATCATATTCTTCGTTCTACAGCCGACCGACATAGACCGTTGCTCAGAAACACAGGGAAACTCCTATACGGCATGGGTACCAAAACCCCTGTTAGTCTCAGCCCAATATGAATGAAGCATATGTCGGATTGCCCCACGAACACATTGTGAATCTCTCACCACGATACAAAGCGTACCGAGTCGAGTACAAAGAGCTCCCGGCAACAACTCCACCTCGATACATGCGAGAAAGAAGATCAACGGAATATGCCATTGCGAGCCACGCATCGGGGAATATGTCTCAACTGCCAAAAGCTACCAAGCTGCCGGTCCCCAGGACTTTCGCCGAAGGCCGTAACGATGCTTCGAGCCAAATGCCTAGTCCCACTGCACTTCCTAGACTGACCCCAGCCAGCCACTCGGGACGGCTAGATGACCAGTCTACAATTTGGGACAAAGGTCATGACCAATATTGGAGGAAGATCCGAGAGAAACTGGAGGACTCGCAGTTGTTAAAACGTACCAGGAGCAAGGAAAGCGACACTGATATCCAATCTCCTAATTCGCGGATCTCCTACCACCGCAGCAGACTTCCGGCTAGCACTAGCCAAGATCAGGCAAGCTCACGGGCAGCTAATGCACCATCAGGAATCGCGAGTCAAAGCACCGTCAACAACAGTTTCGCGCAGGGGTTAAGAAACGATGCTCCCGCCACTCTTGCCGAGGACAGCGAAATCAACTGGAGGAAACAAGGCGACCAATGGGTCAATCTGGATTTTAACGAAAGCACACCCCAGAAATCAGTTAGAACAGATACGACGACTGATTCCAGTCCTCGATCTCATCCTTCCATCTCGCCAGTATCTGTTGAGGACAGTTCCATTACCGACTGGGAAGACCGATTTGTTGTGAATATGCCAACCGCGAAAGATCCCAATCCGCCCACGATGACAGCTCAACAAATTGCCGAGTATCAAAGAAGCATCGAATCAGTATTTCGACAGGGTAGGCAGATGGCGCACCCGGACACATTGCCTAGTCGTAACGTGTCCCCCGAGATCAGATTCATGCCTACCGAACAAATAAGTCAAAGCCCAGGGGGGATCAACACATATGATGGGGTATACGAGGGGCGTCGAGTGCCTAGCTTGCCACGAGACCAACGTCGCTCATCGCCACAGCCCCAGCACAACCCTCAACCGGAGCAACATTTACAGCTTGAGCAGCCCCAGCCCACGAATGCGCCGCAACGTGAAGCAGCTATTCGCTATTACAGCCCGGATGAAATCGGGTACAATCGGATTAGCACAATTTGGGAAGAATTGCCCACAAAAGCAAAAGAAAAACGACACCCCCAAAACGCCGACGGGTCTTTTTTAGGATGCAGGGAAATATCCGGGGAAAAGAACCCAGACGAAATCCTCAAGTTTGCTTCCCCAGACGATGCGAGTCTGCATCCTTTCCCATTGGATCTGGTTTCCAAGAACAGGCAAAAGGTGCCGAAGGAAGTATGGAAGGCGGCAGACCGACAAATCACCCACAGAGTCGGGGAGACCTTAGTCCTTCAAGAAGAGCGACCACAAATTTCTCGGAATTCGAGACCTGTCCAATGCTCGAAGCCGTCACCAATGTACCAGGATCGGAGTTGCCGCCAGAACCCATCCCCAATTCCGCGGACAAGGTCCCAGGATTCGAGCAAAGAGAACTACCACCCTACCAGCAAAACACCCGAGAGGTTCGAAAGTCTGGAACAACATCGGGGGGACGACGATGTGTTCATTATCACACCCACTATCACACGCACTGGGATTCCCACGCCCGACAAGAAAGCATCTTCGTCAAAGCCGCACGGACTGCGTCGTCCTGGTGTTCCAAATCCCACACTTACCGCCGAGGCTGTCCAAGCCGTCCGGGCAAAGGCTCAGATGATCTCCACCCCATCGGGATTGCGGCCAGGGGGACCCAACAGGAATATCAAGCCACCGGAGCGTACCTTGACAGCTTCCCAAACATTGCCACCCAGCAGCATATCCACCGCGCCGAAAGACCAAAACGACGAGGAGGATCGAAACCACGACTATGTGGAAGGTCGCAATCCAGAGCGAGAACAAAAAATACCACCGAATATTATCCGTGGATTCATCCATACCTCCGGGCTTGCAAGACCCCCAGCGCTGGCCAGGTCACCTACAAATAGCCTTACTGCGATGTTGCGCAACAGGACCGAGTCCCTTCGTGCACGCGCCGAGTCTCTGAGGAATAGTTCGGGTTCACCCCTGAGTGCGAACCAGAAACAATCGCCAAATCCTCAGCCAATTCTTCCGTCTAGGGACAATTCGGAATCATCACAATCTGAACGGTCATTTCAGTCCGCTGAAGACACCCCACCCGTCTCAGAAAACCGGTCTACCTCGCCGGCAAAAATAGTCATGGCGGAAAAGAAACCAGAAGAAAACAAAGAACCTTCCTCGCGACAACCTGCTCGAAGCAAACCAGTAACGAAAAAAGTAACTTTATCAGTGGAACGCCCTTCGTCAGCCAAACAGGACAAGCTCCCTACATCAACTAGAAAGATTTCTGGAGTCGCAAAGCTGTCTAAGTCTGATAAACCTCCCAAGTCTACGAAACCGGCTGCGTCTGAAAACCCTCCTCCCTCTAAGGCAGAGAAGCCCGATCCTCTGCCTAAAAAAGAAGAGCGGATAAAGCAGCTGCCTCGTCTCCGCACTTCTGGGAGAGTTTTGGAAATCGCCGAGCTCGATGGGCTTCAAGTTGTGACTCCCAAGGGGTCCCTTCAACCAAATATCACAGATGTCTACGACCTAGGTGATATCAACTCCCGAGACGGGGATGAGTCTGATGGCCAAGCCCTCAATCCCTTGGCCCTTTCACTTATTTTCAATATTCTTATTGTTGCCGTCACCCAAGTGAATAGGGCTCTTCGAATGGGTACAAGTAGTCCTTACACGAAATTCCTGGTCAATAACACCTTGAACATGACCCGTCACTGTTGGCGTGTTTCCAAATGCATCTACGTCGCGGTGTCTCGCTACCAGGCTACAGGCACTTGGCCCAAGGCTCGCAGTGACCAGGCCGTCAGCCGGTTCATGGTGGAGCTTCTTCAGGCAATTGTGTATCTCTTGATTCTTGGGTGTGCAGCCGTGCTGATAGGCCGTACTGCTGGCTACATCGTTCTCGTGAGCAGCTGGATTGTATGGTTTGCCAGGCCCTTTGCATGGGCTTTCCAATGTGTTGGCCGTGCCCTGATAATGTAAAATTAGCCAGGCTTTTAGCTGTCTTGTCTGTACAATATTGTTTCTTTGGCTGTTTCGAGTTTGAAGGGGAGATGTTCGTCATTTTTGGTGCTTTGGGGTCTTAGTCCTGGTCTTGGTTGGTTCTACCTATTCGCCTACTTATTGTTCTCAGCTCCAGGCTGTATTCCTACAAGTAGCTCATTATTCATTACCTTCCAAACTTGGATATTCTACACTGCAGCCATTTATTCTGGTTTATTCCAATGTACGTAGTAGTGAAAAAAAAAAAACTTATATTGATATTGATCTTGACCCGAAACCGATATTTAGAAGCTGAAGGCTCTGGGCACACAGTCATGTACCTGATCCAGCATCGACTCTCCCATGTTGAAGAGAGAAATAACATAACATCCACTTTTGCCATGTCCCCGAAATTCCAGATTTCAATCTCATATATGATGCCCTCTCTCTTCTTTTGCTGTCAATAAAACAAAAACAAAAATAGACCCAACTCCTTCATCCTAGTGTTGAATGTCCTGTATGCTAGCCCCGGGATAATCTCGCAAAAGCAATGCAAAAGCGGGTAAAAGATAACGAATTTGGACATGGAAAGTTCCTTTCTGAAACATTTTTCCTGGATGTGCGTTGAGCAATCCTTTGTGTTTCTAGTTCATGCAAACGAGGTATCCACTCAGCTGACGATGCAGCGTGTTGTAAGATAAAAGCATCATCGAAGAAAAATCCATAGAGGAGAAAAAGGAAGCAGACAAAAAACCGGAAGGGAAATAGCAGGGCTGGGCTACCGTAGGCATTTATAGCTGCCACTGCGAGCTCTATAAATTGAAAAAGAAGAATAAAACAAAAGACGATAGAAAATGAATAAGCCATAAAGGCAAAATTATGTTGAATTTTTGTTTTTCTTTCATTCTTTTGATTCCTCCATCCTTCTGGACTATTGTTCTGGACTGTACTAGACCAAACAGAAAATATGACATAGTCCAAAAGAGAAGCACCGGGCCTGGAGAAGAATGGACCCGAGAAAATAAAAGAGAATCCGATCGAAGCGCCATTGTTAAAAGAGACGGGGTATCGGTACATTATGTTGAAATGAAAACGCTGAGGAAGAAATCGTTGAGAGGTCTTCAGTCGTGACGCCATAAGACATTGCAGGGGAAGCCCGAGATGTGTTGGAGTAGTTGTTTGTATGGGCTGTGTTATCGTTGAGATGAGTGATGTTGAATTAGGTATGTTGAGTTTGTGTTGTGAGAGGAGAGGTTTGCAAAGATGGCATACGACCGAGGGTAGGGAGAGTGTAAATGAATAGCAAACCAGTTCTGAGTTAAGGGGAACTGGTTTAGTTGGCAGAAACGCCATTTTGTTCGGGTTCGGCGTGACCGTTGGTCAATGGCTTTTCGGCCACCTCAACGTTGAGATCTTTGACTTCGAGGCCATTGAAAAGTTCGAAGAGACCGTCGGATCTGTGGAAGTCGTTGTCGACGATATTGACAAGATACCAATCGTCCATGATTTGCTGGATCAGCCTGCGACTAGGGCTGGCCGCGTCATGACACTTGGACCAGTGCTCGCCCAAGAGGTATGCCTCGTCCTTCCAGGCCAAGAAACTGACTGTCTCGACAATTGTGGGCTGGATGATCTCTCGTCCAGCGAAGATACCCCATGTCAGGGCATTCGGGCTGTCACGTGTGTTGGTCCTGAGCTCGCCCTTCTTGTTGGTGGCGTGATAGGTCAAGTCGTCGTTCTTCTCGATGCGAGTGATGAGCTCATCGATCAAGTTGGAGGGGACCAGAAGTTCAAGATAGGCTTTCTGATAGACGAAACCGTTCTTTGGGCCCCATCCATACACAGGGTGAGACGACTTAACTCCATTGACAGCGGGCTGAGAGTTGATTGTCAGGAATCCGCGCTGGTTCAGTTTAAGCAGGTCCTCCTGAATCTCGTGGGCTTCGGTCGTGATAGGCGAGTCACTCCACGGAAGTCGGTCAAGTTTGCCGCTCAAGAAATCAACAAAGACGTTCGATATATCCTTGATCGATTTTGGCTCGCCCCAAAGTTTGATGTTCTGCTCATTCGTGCCCTTCAGCCCCACGCCGTAAGCATCCAATTCACCGAACGCAGGTGAACGAGAATCGGTCCAGCGACCGTTGGGGTACTCGTCCCATGTTTGAGTACGAGCAACGTATGATGAGTTCCGGTTACGCCAGAACACTGGTCGCACATCCTCCGTCCTTCGGCCAAGACCAAGGGAGGGCCGCCAGGGCAGCGCGCGTTGAATAGGGGATTCATCCGACGGGGAAAGATTGAGCTCCTTGAGAACCAACTGAGTTGCCTGAGCCAAGTTCATGGTATAGCTAGGTATGTTGTCAGCACATGTCGGGATACCAGCATTGATGGGTTAGTATAAGCAAACTTACAAGTGCAGGTGCTTGAGACCAGCAGCAATCAGCTGCCTACACATATCGGCGATCAAAGTCTTTCCGATATCTCGAACTGCGGAGTCATCATTCTTGACTGGCTCAAGGGCCTCCATCCACTGAGGAGGCACTTTAACCTTGGTCCAGTTGGACCGACGGATGAAAGAAGCGTATGTCTGAATGGGCATGATACCAGGGATGATGGGGACGTTGATACCCTTGGCCCGGCACTTTTTCACCCATTCGATGAAGTTATCCGCGTCGTAAAACATCTGAGTGACCACAAAAGAGCTGCCCGCATCGACCTTCTCCTTCAGGTGGTCAATCAATTGGTCCACATCGGTGTTGTCATCGGCGCCCTCGGGATAGCCACCAACACCAATATCGAAGTGGTTGCCATATTTGTCCCGAATGTATTTGACGAGATCCTTCGCATAGCAGAATCCATTTTCAGCGGCCTCCCATGTCTCCTTGTCTCGCGGTGGGTCTCCTCGAAGAGCCAAAATGTTGGTACAGCCAGCTTTGTAGGCAGCTTGGAGCGCTTGGTCAACTTTCTCCAACGGCATATCTGTGCAAGTCAGGTGCATGCAGGTCTCCAAGCCGTATACCGATTGTGCCACGCTGACCATCTCGCAAGTTAGATCCGATAAGCGACCGCCAGCACCCCAGGTGATATCGATGAATGAAGGACCCAACCCATGCATGCGGTCCATTCGGTCATAAAGATTTTGTACACCCTGGGCAGTTTTGGGAGGGAAGAACTCGAAAGAGATTCCAATCTTTCCCTCTGCCTCATTTTTGGCCAACTTCTCTCGGATATGCATCGTGTCGGGTTATCTAGTCTTTTGTAAGCATACCGCATAGTTCTAAGGGGTCATAAATTCCACTAAGGGTTTCTGTGCCCTTTGAGCGAACATACCGAGGGGGACAATAATTAATTAATTGTTTGTGGGACTGGGACACCTGTGCAGATGAGACAGGTTACTTTTGCTGTCTGAGACCCTAAGCACAATCCCTGTGTACTGTGACACCTAAATGTCCAGGACCTAGGAATGAAAGGGAATAAATGGATAAAACACAAGAGAAGAAATGAAAAAAAAAACAAAAGTTCAATAAAAGAAGGAAGTGCGAAGCTCTCAAAGAAGAGTGCAGGAAAGGAATCGAGAAATCCGGTGAGCGGAACATTTGGGGGGACAATGTTTTGGCGGGGAAGGCCGGCCATCGGAGGCACGTGTTTTGTTCCTTTAAGGGGAAATTAGGGGCTAATTTGGCATTTAGGCAAAGAAAAAAAAATACGAAGTATAGGAAATAGAACAGTTTTGATTAATTTTCAACATTTTTTCTACTCGAAATGACCGTCGATGGGACTTTATACTCAAAAGCAGTTTCTTATACCTTAGATGGCGCAATACGAAGCCATACCGCCTGCCCCTCCATAGAAAAGAAAGTTCCGGCAAAATTTTCCCGTTCGACTTCGCGCAATTTGATCTTGTTGACTCTTTAACTCTTTGACAATTGCTTCAATTCTCTAAAATTTCTCCAAAATGTCGACTGTTCCTCCTCCATCTGCCGATCAGGACTACAAGTCCACCCTCCTACCCCTTCTCATCTCCAACAATGTCCTCTCGTTCGGCACCTACGTTTTGAAGTCCGGCCGTGAATCGCCCTACTTCTTCACCTCTTCCCTCCTACACACTGCACCATTACTGCGCGCCTCCTCTGCTGCATACGCCAGTGTCCTCTCCGCTGAGCCTTTCGTTACCACCAACGCCGACGGCACCGCTCAGCCCAACTTCGACATTATCTTCGGACCCGCATACAAGGGTATCCCCATCTGCGCATCTGTCACCAACGAGCTCGCTGTGCGGGACTCCCTATCTGGCAAGGCTACCTGGGACAATGTAAGCTACTCCTTCAACCGCAAGGAGGCCAAGGCACATGGTGAGGGTGGAAACATTGTCGGTGCCCCGCTGAAGGGCAAGCGGGTCGTCATTGTGGACGATGTCATCACTGCCGGTACTGCACTGCGTGAGGCTGTTGGTATCATCGAGAAGGAAGGCGGTATTGTCGCTGGTGTCGTTGTCCTGCTGGATCGGGAGGAACGTGTCAGTGATACTGAGACCAAGAGCGCCATTGGCGTTGCCCAGCGTGATCTTGGTGGCAAGATCCCCATCCGGTCGGTTCTTGGTCTCCATGACCTGATTGAGAAGCTGGGTGATAGCATTGGCGCCGGCGAGATCCAGCGATTGAAGGATTACCGTGAGCGCTACGGTGCCCAATAGACATCGGCTTGTGGAATCCGCCAAATCAAGGCATGATGTATGAGCAAAGATAACAGGATGGATACCAGGATATTTTGGAGTTGCTCTGAAAATATAATTATTTAAACATTGGCCATATCCAAATTAGGAGACGGGCACATTCATATGGACTATTTCAATAATCCTCTGCAATTGATGCAACTATATACTTTAGACTAGTTCGCAAATGGTTTCCCATTTGTCCATCTTCGCACAGTATGATATAATTTTGGGCAAATAAATGAATTTGCCCTTTCTTTTTTGCCATCGCCTGCGACGGTTCCCGGCAAACAGGTGATACCAGTGCTCAATCCGAGGTGCTCAATAGGAACTTTGATACATACTCCAATCGGGTAACCTGGAGCTGCGAATGCCGGCTCCCTAGTCTTCAGTCTTGCTAATTATGTAGCTGAATAATGGGGTGTTTTCTCTCTCTCTGAACAGTAGTTCTATCTATGTTGTCTTCCAACACACCCCTGAAGTGGCTGGTTGCACTCGGACGCCGGAATCCCCGCGAGCAAGACAATGTTCCACATGAACCCGAAGAAATAAATAGTCTAAATTCGAGTATCTTAGCAAGCCAATAATAGTAATTGATGTTGCGCGGCAAGCGGCACACAGCACAGCAGATAGTACCATTGCTAGGTTGTGTTTGACATTATGCACCCAAAAAGCAATACAAGTACCCCATTGAGATAAAATTGGACAATCTATACACGTAAAGAGATGTATATATCAAGTGCTACACTCAGGCAATATGTATCTACCAAGTCCATCACTTGATCAGTACACGGTGGGACATAACTTGACACAGTACCCTTGGACACATGAATTTCGATAGGTAACAAATGCAATGAAGAAGACGACTGTTTGATGCAGCGACAGTCTATGATGATGTAGAGATCAATCCCTGGGTACATACGTATATGTGTATTTAAGTTGGTTTTCCCAATAACGAGAATTATATACTAGATCAGATCTGAATATACTCAAATCAATCAGGCTTATCTATGCAAGGCTCCAAGGTACCCCCGGATTCTACCTGAGACATCTGATCGGTGCTGTGTATGCTGCTAATATGGCAGCTTCCGGTGGTATCCAAATGGCTGCCTGTGTTCCACAAAAGAATAAGGGCACGGGACAGGGGGTAAAATCGAGACTACTCGATTATTTCAAAGTGATCAGAGATTAAAAATACCTATTGTTCAAAATTATTCTCCCTATGGCCAGCTCCAATCGTGGAGGTATATATCTTCAACTAACATGACTCAGTTTCTATTCAAGTGGCAGGTGCCTTTTAAAAGCCGACAGAGCCTCATCGTTATATATCTCTATAGAGCACAAAGCTCTCTCTGGATTTTTCTTAACTAGTAAGCCAAGGGAAATTACTATTACTACTTCTAACTAACTACATGGCATTAGTAAAAGCAATCATCTTGCCTCTGAAACAAACTGATATATTTGGAACATGATCCAAAAAAGGATTGCTGTATAAAAAACTAAGAAACTAACCAGTGTTTTGGTATCTCACTGGAAAGCCTAGTACTATCGCATGCCAGGTCTTAATTAGTAGCTCTTGGAATATTTCTACATTGTATCCTACTCAATGTAAGTATAAAGTATGTTAGTTGAGTATAGTGAAATGATTTTATTCGCTAAATACTCACCATCTTGTTCTATTCTGTAACCCAGAGTATAGGGCTCGTTAATATGGTTGGTGAATACACATAAGCCCATGACTCTTTTTGCACGGTGAATTACAGGTGACAGAGTGTCACCCTTGTGCTCTTTGATTATGTATGTATACTACATCCATCACTATGTGTCTAGGTAATCCACCATCACATGTGATCTTTCGATTGACCACTTGATTGTCTCAAATATCATTGAATTCTATTGTAGGGCCTGCCATGCTACTTAAAAATGTTGGCATATTATTAGAAGTATCAATGGTGAACATACATTTAATAAATCCTTCGACCATATATTTTGCTTTAACTGCCATCCTCCAACAACAAGCTAGAACAAGTCGATTGATGGCCGCCTAATTCTAGAACAACCAGTAATTCTGGGGCCCAAGATAGATGTCGGGTTACATTTGTTAATATAGCACATTATGTAGCCATATTCCGTTGTTTAAATGGCTTAATACATGGGCAAACAGGGTCTCGGGTGTTTGAAAGGTTAATATCTACAGCCAGTGACTTGAACACCCGTCAAAGCAACCTAGCCTTCTCATCGAAGATAAAGTATTGTTAGCAACAAAAATTAGCAGTCTGTATAAAGTAGTACGAACAGCAGAGTACAAGGAGGCTCGGATCTTGTATACTTATGTACTTCATACCTCTATGCAGGCTGGATGACAACTTTCGAAATGTACACAGGAAATAAAGATATCTTGTTTTTGTATGCATACATCACCGAGATAGTCTGTTATTTTTTTCACAGAGACTATTTTAGAGTTGGTGCGCGTTAGACAGCATTTATGCCGCAACTGTTGCCTCTAATATATATACAGAACCGTGGACGCAATGTTCGAGACAACATCGATGGCTCAACATTATTGATATATGACTTGGGCATGTACTTCAATTTAAGTACTTTGGCCAGAAGATTAGTCAAGTTTGCCTACCGTCAAAGTTTCAATTGGACCAATATAATACTGGGTGTATATTCTGCGCTGCTCGGACTCCCCACGGCTTTGAATACCATCTACAAGGTACATAGTATCACCGAATCGCCGTGATACCTGTGATGCATGGATTGTTTGATCAGCCTCGTCGAGCCATGGCCATTCCACGACGGCCGCCCCATGCAGAGAGCTATGGTGACGCCTCGTAGAACACAGATCTTTGCCGCCTGAGTCCCATGGTATCTGTAAATAGCACACCGCGGTAATTAGCATGTCAATCAACGCGCAGACAGAGCTTGGTGTACTTGCATCTCTTTGTCTCCTATCAGCTGCGTCTTCGGCTCTAACCGTTCATTCCGGGCTTCAAGGAGAATTTTCGAAGTATCTCATGTCCAGTCCTAGGAACCGGAAAGAACATCAGGAGACCTCGTTAGAAGAAGTAGACCGTGGAGTATTATGCTCCATTTGAACCACGTTGAGTGATCTTACCACAGCTGGTAATGTTCTACTATCCTCTAGACATTTCTAGGTTTCTCTTATTTCTATTAACCATTCCGCAGCTCTTCATCCCCATTCTTTCCCCCTCTTCTCTACTTAGGAGCGCTCCCATAGATTGGAGGACTATTGGTCATATTCTACTTGGAGGGAAATGCCTGAAGTCTCTCGTTGATACTAGTTCTTTTTATTCGTACACCACTCTTTCGCAACCTGCGACTTTCCGAAAAAGCAAACTATTCGTTATATCTGCCCTGTTAGTATCTCTCCTTTCAGAATACCTAAGTGAGAAGATCCGATTTGCTATTGGTACCAGTCGGGTACATGTGCGTCTTTCTCATATCTTGCTAATAGGGAATGGTGAAACATAGTAGTTGTTCCTTGAAAGCTCCAGTCGGATCAACGGACTTCGTCTCGCCTTTTTTCGTCTATACTCGACACATGCTACGCTCCCAAGTCTTTCTGAAGCGGCTGACTACATTGTTTGTCGACCATGAATTGGAGATATACAATTCCAGTGCTCGCTTTTCTTGCAGTTCCAGGAATTAGTTGGCCCTACGACGAGACTCTTACTGCTTATAACATCAATGAGAACCAAACAGCGACTAGCCCCTTGGACTACTGGGGAGAATGGCCCGATCACACCTACTTTCCTTCGCCAGAAAATTGGCGTTTTCCTGTATATACGCTTTTCCTTGACCGATTTGTTAACGGGGATCCAACAAACGACAATGTAAATGGGACACTCTTTGAACATGATATCAATTCAAACCAGATGCGACATGGAGGTGATGTGGCTGGCCTGATAGACACTTTGGACTATTTACAAGGAATGGGTATCAAGGTGAGCCTCGCGAATGGATGAACTTTGGGTGCATATCTGATATTAATTGACAATTAAACTTCCAGGGACTTTACCTTGCAGGTTTGGTATTAATGAACCAGCCATGGGGGGCTGATGGCTATTCAGCGCTTGACACTACGCTACTCGACCAGCATTTCGGGACAATTCAAACATGGAGAGCAGCGATCACGGAAATCCACAACCGCGGCATGTATGTTATTTTTGACAATACTGTCTCAACGTAAGTCTTACATTCCAAAAATCATCTGTTACCGTATCAAAGCATCTAATAGCACTAGGATGGGAGACCTCATTGGGTTTGAAGGGTACATGAACACAACGACCCCATTTTCAGTCAAAGAGCACAAGGCCTCCTGGAAATCGAACCGACAATATGTCGATTTCCGATATGGTAATACTTACAATGAGACGTGTGAATATCCTCGCTTCTGGAATGAGACCGGATACCCGGTGGATGATTATGTCGACTATGAGCTACTCGGGTGCTATGATAGTGATTTCGATCAATATGGTGATATCGAGGCCTTTGGTGTCTATCCTGACTGGAAGCGAGAGCTCGCGAAATTTGCTTCTGTTCAAGATCGGCTGCGTGAATGGGTGCCTAGTGTTAGAGAGAGACTTATTCGTCATTCGTGTATGATCATCGCCTCTTTCGACATCGACGGCTTTCGCTACGACAAAGCTACACAAGCCACTGTAGATGCTCTTGGTGATATCTCTGGGGCGTATCGAGACTGTGCTCGGCATGTGGGAAAAGACAACTTTTTCCTTCCCGGTGAGATTACAAGTGGAAACACTCTCGGCTCTATCTTTCACGGGCGAGGCCGTCAACCTGATATGCAGTCTCAAACGCTCGAGGAGGCTTTTATGATGACGAATGCCTCGGATCCGGATTACTATATTCGTGACCAAAACAAGCAGGCGACCGATGCCGCCGCATTTCATTACTCCGTCTACCGCTCTCTCACCCGGTTCTTGGGTATGGACGGTAACTTGGCTGCTGGGTATGATGTTCCGGTCAATTGGACAGAGGCCTGGTATCAAATGGTCCTCACCAATGACATGGTTAATGCCAACACTGGAAAATTTGATCCACGCCATATGTATGGAGCTACAAACCAGGACGTATTCCGATGGCCGGCTGTTGAATATGGCATTGAAAGGCAGCTGCTGGCCCTTTTTATCACGACATTGCATATGCCTGGGATTCCTATGCTTCTATGGGGCGAGGAACAAGCATTTTATATTTTGGATGCTTCAGCTTCCAATTATATCTATGGCCGTCAAGCAATGTCTCCAGCCACAGCTTGGAAAAATCACGGATGTTTCCAGTTGAATTCCACTCAATACTTCCAGTGGCCTATAAAATCAGGACGTTTGGGATGCCACGATGAGACAGTCACATATGATCACCGTGACCCCGCTCATCCCGTGCGGAACATTATCAAACACATGTATCAAATGCGACAGGACTTCGGTGCTCTTAACGATGGATGGTGGATCCAGCTGCTCTCCAATCAGACGCACAACATATATCTCCCGGGTTCTGATGGAGTCCCCACAGAAACTGGTATGTGGTCTGTCTTGCGCAGTCCATATTATCAATTGCAAGATCTAGGAGAAATAGGCAACCAAACGGTCTGGTTTGTATACCAAAATGAGGATCGAACAGTCAACTATGAGTTCGACTGCTCTGATCCAGATAAAGCATTGATTGCTCCATTCGACATAAACACCACGGTGAAAAATCTGTTTTATCCTCACGATGAGTTGACACTACAAGAGGGTCCAGTCAAGCTTGCTTTGAATGGCTCCGACAAGTACAACGGTTGCCTTGAGAGTATGAGGCTTCAACCTTACGAATTCAAAGCCTACATCCCAAAGGAGAAATTCGTCTCTCCTCGCCCTATGGTAACGAAGTTCCTACCCGGACACGATACTCCTTTGCTCTCTGCTGTCGCGCCAAACGAAAGTGAATCAGTGGACATCAGTTTCTTCTTTTCCACAGATATGAATTGCTCTATGGTAACTGAGTCAATATCACTCGAGTCGTCTACTGAAACTGGAGAATGGCCTTCTGTGGACCTTGACAGCGTCAGTTGTGGGACTATGGACCCAGAGACTACGACTTGGACCGGCCAAATTCCATCTGCCTGGTTTTGGAGTGGTACCCTGACTGGGGTCTACAATGGTGTACACAAATTGACGGTAAAAAATGCGACAAGTGCTGATGGAAGAGTAACCAATGCGATCGACCATTTCTTGTTCCGAATCGGGCAGTATGATAACCCCATGATCTTGACCTCGGCAAATTACTCCAGCAGCTTGCTTCATGGGCATAAGGATGGTACTCTTTTTATTGCACAACACGCAGCAGGAGCAGACAAATATCGGTACTCTACCAACTGGGGTAGTACTTTCACTGAATGGCTCCCATACGAGGGAGGAAATCACAGCATTAAAGAACTGCCTTGGTCTGGAACGAAGAAACAGAGATGGAATGGACAACACGTTCGGGTCGAGTACTGGAGTCGCCTCACAGGTAGTAGCGACTACGTCCAAGAAGGTGACGGGCCCGACTGGAGTCCCACTATCCAACGTCGCTTCCCTCACCTCTTTTTCAATGGTCCATTCAACAGGTACGGATATGATGCCGGCTTGGATAATGTCGTGAGACAGGATACTGATGGTCTCTGGAAATTCCGCTTTATCGCTGAATGGCCTGCCCAGGGTCAATTGAATGTCTGGGGTATCAACCCTGATAATCAACCAGACCAAAGCTACATCTACGGAGATTCCGATGGAGACTCAATCCTAGACCGTCTGCCACCCTCTTCACTCAGTGTGACATCCATAAATATCACTCAGCATCCACCGAACCCGCACATCGCTTGGAGGCTTCAAGTCGATGACTCGAACTTGCAGTTTAATCTTGTTCCTACAGGCTCCAAATATCTTCAAATGGCTCTATTCTTCCTACTTTGGACTATTCCCGTTATTACAGCGTCAACCTGCGCTTACTTGTTTATGAAAACATTTTACCGAATCAAGTTCAATCAAGTCGGGGTCAGTGAAAAAAAGACGCTTATTTCAATGGACTACCTCAATAAATTCAAAATCGGCCAAGCGGAAGATGGACAGTCCAGAAATCCATTCAGACGCCGTTTAAGTACGTCAAAATTCCTTCAAAGCACTTCTGCGTTTGGAAATCAAACTGCGCGCCGACGAAAGGTCCTTATTGCAACAATGGAATATGATATCGATGACTGGGCTATCAAGATAAAAATCGGTGGCTTGGGTGTTATGGCACAGTTAATGGGGAAACAGCTCGGATATCAGGATATTGTCTGGGTTATTCCCTGTGTCGGTGGAGTGAAATATCCCGTTGATAAACAAGCAGATTCGATGTTTGTTATGATCTTGGGGAATTCATACGAAATCAAGATTCAGTACCACCAACTGAGAAACATCACATATGTTTTGCTGGATGCGCCGGTTTTCCGCCAGCAATCCGCCACAGAGCCTTACCCGGCCCGTATGGACGACCTCGGCAGCGCTATCTACTACTCTGCCTGGAATCAATGTATTGCCCAGGCAATGAAGCGGTTCCCCGTTGATTTGTACCATATCAATGACTATCATGGCTCGGTCGCCCCGCTATATCTTTTGCCCGAGACTATTCCTATCTGCTTGTCGCTTCATAACGCCGAATTTCAAGGCCTTTGGCCTATGAGGACACAGAAAGAGAAAATCGAAGTCTCTTCTGTTTTCAACCTCGATTTGGATGTTGTAACGCGCTATGTCCAGTTCGGCGAGATCTTCAATCTTCTTCATACCGGTGCAAGCTATCTTCGCCTTCATCAACAAGGATTCGGTGCCGTTGGTGTATCAAAAAAGTACGGCAAGCGGTCATATGCTCGATATCCAATCTTTTGGGGCTTAAGGAAAGTTGGACACCTACCAAATCCCGACCCCTCCGATACAGGCGATTGGGATAAAGCCTTGCCCAAGGAGAACGAGATTAACGTCGACTATGACTTCGAAGTCCGTAGGGCAGAGCTAAAGCGTCAAGCACAAGAATGGGCTGGTCTCAAGCAAAGGTCCGACGCTGAGCTGCTAGTCTTTGTTGGAAGATGGTCTATGCAAAAAGGGATTGACCTGATCGCTGATGTATTACCTAGTATATTGGAGAGTCGGGAACATGTCCAGTTAATCTGTATCGGGCCACTTATTGATTTGTATGGCAAATTCGCAGCGTTGAAACTGGACCGAATGATGAAGCTATACCCTGGTCGGGTGTGCTCTAAACCTCAGTTCACAGTCCTACCACAGTTTATCTTCTCTGGTGCTGATTTTGCACTCATTCCGTCACGCGATGAGCCATTTGGTCTTGTCGCTGTTGAATTCGGTCGGAAGGGCGCCCTTGGAATTGGGGCCAGAGTAGGAGGACTCGGGCAGATGCCTGGCTGGTGGTATACCGTCGAGTCCACAAGTACCTCACACCTATTAAAGCAGTTCAAATTGGCCATCGACAGTGCATTAAGCTCCAAGTACGAGGTGAGAGCAATGATGCGCGCAAGGTCTGCTAAGCAACGATTCCCAGTTGCCCAGTGGGTCGAAGATCTTGAGATCTTACAGTCCACATCGATTCGAGTCCACCAAAAGGGACGAGCCAAATCTCAGAGCCAGTCTGGCGCTGTTAGTGCATATAACGCTATATATGGGATGATGACACCGCAGGCGGCGTCAACAAGATCGGGCGCATCAACACCTCCATTACAACCATCAAGTCGCCCACGCACTACGGGATCACTACAGCGAAGTTCTATAATCTACAGTCATGACACAACCCCTGGATTTGATGGGAGACCAAGGTCAGGACTCAGTCGCCAGATGTCTTTCAGTGCTCGGCCAGTAACTAGGCCCATAGAGCCTCGCAGTCGGCGCGAGCTCGGGAAAGGTAGTGGTACAGAGGGTGACGACAGTGCTGGTAGAACCTCTCCGGAAGCCGAAGAAGATACCGACGACGACATGATGGCTACCTGCTACGGCGATGATGATTATTCCATGCCACCTGAAGTAGCAGATCCAGGACGTGCACAAACTCTCCAGCCTGCGGGTGTAGCCCTCACCAAAGAGGCTCTATCGGCCCAGCGCGCGAGTCAAGGCTCGTCTTTGGTTCGATGCAGCAACACTCCCTCTAGTTCAGCAGCGCCAAGTACTGTCGGGACAGATGAGACCCTTGCTCCTCCTTCTCGTCCATGGACAGAGCCAGGAAATCGTCTCAGTAATGCCTCGGCCTTGTCCGTTGATTCGGTTGTTGGAGAGAAGAAAGACTTCAAACTCCAAAAGGTTGACCCATTCTTCACTGACAGCAACGGGGAGTACTACAGGGTATTTGAAAAAAGACTTGAGGAGCTCAGTGGGGAAAACTCGGACAATCAGCTCTGCATTGAGCAATATCTCGAGAAGAGCGAAAAGAAATGGTTCAACAAATTCCGTGACGCACGCCTTGGCCTCAATCAAGGATCCCCAGCTGGCTCAGTGCGTCGCGGCAAAACAGGAACATCCCCGGCGGGGTCAGTTACCAACGACGATGCGACATCCCACGAAAGTGGTGAGCCCGAGAGAAAGGCTACCCAGCGAGATGAATTTTTCCTTGGTGATGATTATGTGCCACCAACAGGCCTAAAGAAATGGATGCAAATGCGTATCGGAGACTGGCCGGTGTATTCTATTTTCCTCGGACTGGGTCAGATTATTGCTGCCAATTCATACCAGATTACCCTTCTCACCGGAGAGGTCGGCCAGACTTCTACGAAGTTGTACGGAATCGCGACAGTTTACCTCATCACTTCGATTCTATGGTGGCTTTTCTTCCGCTACTGCAAATCGGTGCTCGTTCTGAGTGTGCCATGGTTCCTATACGGAACAGCCTTTTTGATCATCGGAATGGCACACTTTGAGCCCAACTCACACACTCGAGGATGGATTCAAAATGTTGGAAGTAGTGTGTATGCTGCTGCATCATCAAGTGGTTCTATCTTCTTTGCCCTCAATTTCGGTGACGAAAGCGGTGCACCGGTCAAACTGTGGGTATTCCGTGCTTGCCTTATTCAGGGCACGCAGCAAGCTTATGTCATTGCTCTTTGGTACTGGGGCTCAACTTTGACTAAAGCTACCAACGCGGGGATTATGGATGTGCAGAGCAGCATCAGCAACACCTGGAGAATGACGTTCGTATAACATACAAATCTTCGTCTACGGGATCAGAGACTTGCTAACCATTGCTATAGAGCAATATGTACACCAATCACTATCTTCTTGTGGGCAATTGGCCTCGTTGTCTATTTCGGACTGCCAAACTACTATCGCCAAACTCCCGGCAAGGTGCCGTCATTCTACAAATCTGTTTTCCGGCGCAAGATTGTCGTTTGGAATTGGGTGGTCGTCATTATACAAAACTTCTTTTTGAGTGCCCCATATGGTCGGAACTGGAATTGTGAGTCTCCATTTGCCAGACAGCTCCTATTATCTCTTCTCATTTTCTATACCGTGGATTTTACTAATCGCTACCACAGTTCTTTGGATCACCCAGCACGCCAGCCCATGGCAAATTCTACTTCTCTGCGTTGCATTCTTTGGGTTTGTCTGGATAGCGGTTCTCTTCCTGCTGGCTAGACTATCCAAATCCCATAGTTGGATCCTCCCAGTTCTCGCATGTGGTCTGGGTGCTCCACGTTGGGCACAAATCTGGTGGGGCACATCTGGTTCCGGCCTGTTCCTCCCCTGGGCTGGAAGTTATACCTCGGGAGCGATTCTATCTCGCAGTCTTTGGCTCTGGCTCGGGGTCTTGGATGCATTACAGGGTCTCGGGTTCGGTATGATTCTGCTTCAAACACTGACACGTATGCACATCTGCTTCGCCCTTTTGGTATCACAGGTCCTGGGCTCTATCGCAACTATTTGTGCAAGGGCATTTTCACCCAACAACATTGGACCAGGGCCCATCTCGCCAGATATCACGGCTGGTGTGGGTGCGTTGGGTAACGCTTGGTTTTGGGTTGCTCTTATATTGCAGCTCTCAATCTGGTATGTGCTCCCAATAAGAATGTTATTTTTAACCCCATCTAACATTCTAAATTGAAGTGGTGGCTTTCTTCTTTTCTTCCGCAGGGAGCAATTATCGAAGTCCTGAACAAATGTCAATTTGCTTTGTTGGAAGTGAATGAAATGGATTGGTGATTCAAGATCGCCAATTGTGGGACTTTTTTCAATTTTCCTTGCGTACATTGACAATATAATTACTTATGTTTGTTGTGTGGCTTATTTGTTCTCAAACAGAAACAGCCCGGAGTATTTAGTGTCTAATATAATGGTATAATATCTGACAAGCCATAGACCAGGCTATGGCTACAAATGGCCCAGGATCTTAATTGCAATGAGTCATTTCTTCGTTATGGCCAGTTTCTGGAACCATTTTAAGAACACGGCATTCTTCGTGACAAGGGGCTAGGATGCACCATTACCATGATACAAAGTTGTACAGTGTAGAGATAGTGACTGACCGTGAAAAAAATCTAATTGATCCATAGCAGACAATAAAAAGTAATATATAAAAAAAAGGAGAAGAGGTGGGGGGATCCCCAGTGATGCGCAGCCTTGAGGCTATCACACACGAATTTTGGTTCCAAGGAGGATCGAACCCAGGGAGGGGCCTCATTAAGAGCAAACGATTGGACAATTCTCAATCAGATGTTGTTCTTAACTACTACACCACCTGGATTCGCTAGGAAAGATCTTAATTTGTTTATATCCCCCGGGGGCCATCGTTCGAACAGGCGACAAGACCCACTTAGCGGGACCCACCCAACCCAACCTTATTCTAAAAGAGACCTACAACATACCTAGGTAGCTAAACTATGTATATCTAGTTTTTGGTATAGTAATGGCGAGTCAAAAGGCCTTCAGTGCACGTAGGATCAATAGTGAGGAATAAAGACGGTGCGTAGGCAGGGCCTTGGGCAAATATGGGAAAGCAGCAAGTATCTAAGGCAAATAGGTTTCTTTCCTCATTTTTAATGCCTCATAATATGCAGAAGGAAAAGAAATGAGGGTGATTCCCAGCAATACATACCCTTAAGGACATCACACTGGGAACTTTAGTTCCAAAGGCAATTGACCAGGACTTATGCCTCATTATAGTACGCAGTTGGGCGTTAATCTTAACTACTACACTACCTGGAATTCAAGGCAAGGTCTTGACTTGTTTATACCTCCCGTCACTATTACGTGAAATGCCACAATTCTCTTCCAACCTCACAGCAAATAAGGCAACATATAAATTTACCTCATCTGGGTCCTCTCTGAAAGATCCAACTTCCAATAATTGTGTGTATGGCATCAATTGTCATTCTGCCAGACAATTTGAGAAATATTTTCCCGTGTACCCTTCTTAATTTTACTTAACTTATCAACAGTATCATTAAAGTTGCAACATGACTTGTCCTGTCTATCGTAGTGCATTATTTAAAAAAAGAAACGGTAGCATAACTAATTTGGCTCTCCATCCCCCTCGCTTGGCACTACTGTCGGGAAGCATTATGGTAGAGTATTTAGATTGAAATTTGGGGATACTCAGATGGCCTCAAGAACCCGCTGCGTATAGGTAGAATGCGACCGTGTATTTCTTACCTACTAATTCGGGTATTTTGTCATCCATAGGAAGGCGGGCACACAGGTCCATGCTAGTACCCGCGAGCTAGGATATAGGAGAGATATGGGAGAAAGAGCGCAGAAAAGGAACTGATAGATTCACTTCAAGTCAGGTCGACCACAGGATAATTATATTAATGATTTTCATCCTATGCTGATATTGCTATTGTGCTCCTACACGCGGGTATTTTGTCGAAGTCCACTCGCCTAGTTCATGTCAGATCGCCAACTCGAGTTCGACGGCTCGTCTTGTCCTGTCAGGGGCCGAATGGAACGTTTATCGGCTTTGGCTCGGAATCTTCAATAAAAATTAAACGTATTGTCTGTCGAATAAGTGAGTCTCCATGCGAAACCGGTGCGTATATACATCCCTTGCTTCGCGCTAAGATTGACTATGGATAGCGGCCTCGAAAGAACTGTTAGCTACTCATCAACATGGCGGCCCAGGATGTATTCGATCGCTCAATGGACGAGGATATCGCTCTCGGAAATATGTGGTACGAGCAAGAATTCAAACGCTCGTTCACTTTGTTGGACATGGTGGGCTTCAGTTTCAGTATTGTGACCTGGTGAGAATACCCCTCAATATGACCACAAGAGTCATGTCTAATACCTCACAGCTGGACTGCTTTAAGTGGCGTCTTCATTATTGGCATCCAGGCCGGTGGCCCACCTGTCATGATTTTCGGCTGGATCGGGGTCTGTGTGTTCACAATGCTCATTGCCCTGGCAATGGCTGAGATGTGCTCGCGTTGGCCAGTAGCTGGAGGCCAATACTCGTGGGTGGCCATGCTAGCGCCGCCTCGAATTTCCCGACAGCTGTCATATATCACTGGGTGGTTTATGCTGACCGGTTCGTAGCCGACGAGTTTTAGCGAATAGATGCTGATCTCTGTTTGATAGGACTCCTCGCTATGGGCGCGGTCAACAATTCCTTCGGATCAAATTATATCCTAGGCCAAGTCAACCTGGTCTTCCCGGACTTTGTTATCGAGCGGTGGCACACCGTCCTGGTTGCCTGGGCCGTGGGGTTATTTTCTCTCGCTGTCAATGTATTCGCACCCCACGCTTTGCATCGCCTTTCCCGCTTCGTCTTGATGTGGAATATCGTCTCGTTCATCATCGTGATCACCACACTTTTAGCAACAAACCACCAGAAGCAAGATACAGGCTTCGTATTCCACGAGTTCCGGAATACGACGGGCTTCGGTGCTTCGATGGCTACTATTGTTGGGATCCTACAAAGCTTTTTCGGCATGTGCTGCTACGATGCACCGAGTCATATGACAGAAGAGATGACCCACGCCAGCCGAGATGCACCGAAGGCAATTATCATGTCGGTCATGATGGGGGCTGTAAGTGGACTACTCTTCCTTCTGACACTATGCTTTTGCATGGGTGATATCGAAGCAACAGCCAATTCAAGCACCGGGGTCCCCGTCATACAGATCTTCTACGATTCAACCCAAAGCAAAAGTGGAACCTGCATACTGGCAAGTATGATCACTGTCATTATCGTGATGTGCTCTATCGGTCTCCTCGCTGAAGGATCAAGATCAGTATATGCCTTTGCGCGAGACCGTGGGCTGCCATTTTCCGGCTTGTTATCTCAAGTCGAGCCGAAGAAGAAGATACCTCTGAACGCTATTTTTCTCACTGTTGCAGTGCAGCTAGGGCTGAATGCGATTTACTTCGGTGCAAAGACGGGATTTGAAACGGTGATTTCAATAGCTACCACGGGGTTTTGTATGTTGACATATCTGACTGCAAGTAACCACGAGCCTTGAACAGCTAATGTGGATTCAATCTAGATGTCTCCTACAGTCTTGTATTTTTCGCCAGACTACTTGGCTATTTCTTCCACCACCAAGCCTCCTCCTTCGACGGACCATATTCATTGCCGCTTCCGGTGTCGCTCGGATTCAGTGCGATTGGCCTGCTGTTTCTGTTATTCGCTTCTATTACATTCAATTTTCCCTCTGATGCTCCGGTCACCTTTCAATCGATGAATTATACCAGTGCAGCTATCGGTTTGGTGACGTTGCTCAGCCTTCTGACCTGGTTTACCACTGCAACACATCGTTTTGTTGGCCCTTCGGATGTCAAACACTTGGTCGTCAACGGCATAGGAAGCGCACAGACATTACAACCCACGGATGAGGATGGTTCAAGTACGAGCAAAGAGAATAATGGTAAGATATTCTCCTAGGAGAGATATAGCCTAGACTAGAGATACTACACATCCGACCGATATTAAAAAGTAGAACGGTGAATACGAGAATTTGTTACAAAGAACTAGAAATCCACGATCATAATTCATTCTCGTTGAAATTCGTAGGCTATACAAATTATAAAACAGCCCATGATTAGCCCAGGGCAAAACAAAACACACGTAGTAGCTGCAACAAGTAGGGGAATAAAAGTTTAAAGTCCAAACAACGTGACACCAAAATACATTGCGGTAGTGCCAATGACCAAATCCAGGCACTTGACAAACACAAAGAACAACTTTACCACTCAAGAGGCTCGTTCTTCACATCACCACGGTTGGTCTTGGGAACAGGAGCAGCCTCAACCATAGTTGCACCACGGCGACCACGGCTAAGGTAGCCACTGCCATCCAGCCAGGGGGTCTCAAGGGTGCGCTTGGCCTCGAAAGTGCGGATCTTGTCCTCCATCTGGAGAGTAAGACCAATATCATCCAGGCCGTTGATAAGGCAGTGCTTGCGGAAAGATTCGACCTCAAAGGCAGTGATCTTGTTACCCTGAGCATCCTTGATCTCCTGGTTGACGAGGTCAACCTCGACCTCACGGCCGGCGCGAGCCTCATCGGTGATCTTCTGCAGAGCAACCTCATCAGAGACGACGACGGGCAGCATGCCGTTCTTGAAGGTGTTGTTGAAAAAGATATCGGCGAAGGAGGGAGCGATGATGCACTTGATACCGAAATCGAGCAGAGCCCAGGGGGCGTGCTCACGGGAGCTACCACATCCGAAGTTAGGGCCGGTAACAACAAGGATCTTGGAGTCGCGGTAGATGCCCTGGTTCAGGATGAAATCGGGGTTCTCCTTGTCATCAATGTAACGGAGCTCATAGAACAGCGCAGTACCGAGACCAGTACGCTTGATGGTCTTAAGGAATTGCTTGGGGATGATGGCGTCGGTGTCGACGTTGGCGCGATCCAAAGGAGCGGCGATACCCTTCAGGGTAGTGAAGGGGGGAAGACCAGTGCTCTTACCACCGCCGGTAGCAGGGGCCGAAGAGTTGGCGTGGGGCTCGTTGTCAGCAGGGAAGTCCAGGACGCGGTCGAGTTCCTCCTCAGTCTCGGGGGATTCCCACTTGGGCTGCTGGACATCGATCTTGGGAGAGGCCTTACCAAGGACAGGGCTGGCTACGATGTGCTCACGAACATCAGCGAGCTTGCCGACAATGGCAGCAGTGGCAGCCATGGCGGGTGACATGAGGTGAGTACGACCCTGGGCACCCTGGCGACCCTCGAAGTTACGGTTGGAGGTACTAGCACAGCGCTCCTTGGGGGACAGGATATCTGGGTTCATACCCAGGCACATGGAGCAGCCAGCCTCACGCCATTCGAAACCGGCATCAGTGAAGATCTTGTCGAGGCCCTCGGACTCAGCCTGCTCCTTGACGAGGCCAGATCCAGGGACGATCATAGCGCGCTTGATGTTGGATGCAATCTTACGGCCGTTGACCACCTTGGCTGCGGCACGCAGATCCTCGATACGTGCGTTTGTGCAAGATCCAATGAAGACCTTGTCAACCACAACATCCTTCATGGGTGTACCAGCGACAAGACCCATGTACTCAAGAGCCCGCTTGCAGGAGTTCTTGCGGTTCTCATCCTCGAAGTCATCAGGACCGGGAACAACACCAGTAATCGGGACCACGTCCTGGGGAGAGGTACCCCATGAGATGGTGGGAATAATATCCTTGCCGTCAAGGAAGACCTCGCTGTCGTACTTGGCGCCAGGGTCGGACTTCAGGCTGGACCAATAGCTGGTAGCCTTGTTCCACTCTGCGCTGCCGTACTTAGGGGCTAGAGGGCGGCCCTTGAGGTACTCGAAGGTGATCTCATCGGGTGCAATCATACCGGCACGCGCACCACCCTCAATAGACATGTTGCACATTGACATACGAGCCTCCATGCTCAGTCCACGGATGACGGATCCGCAAAACTCGATAACAGCACCATTACCACCAGCAGTGCCAATGACACCGATGATGTGGAGAACGACGTCCTTGCTGGTGACGCCAGCGGGCAGCTCACCATCAACCTGGATGCGCATGTTCTTACTACGGCGAGTAATGAGTGTCTGGGTTGCGAGCACGTGCTCAACTTCACTGGTTCCGATACCGAACGCGAGGGCACCGAAAGCGCCATGTGTGGAGGTGTGGCTGTCACCGCAGACGACAGTTGTGCCGGGCAGAGTGAAACCCTGCTCGGGGCCGATGATGTGAACAATGCCCTGACGCTTATCGCCCATACCAAAGTAGGTGAGACCGAATTCCTTCACGTTCTCCTCCAGGGTTGTGCATTGGAGACGCGAGTCATTTTCCTTAATAAATTCGGTGGCGTTTTTGAAGTTCTTTCGTGAAGAGGTAGGGATGTTCTATCCGGGGATAAAAAAGTCAAATTAGTTGTGTGCTGCTGGTGGAAGTTGGATTAAACATACGTGATCAACTGTAGCAAGAGTGCAGTCCGGCCGGCGGACCTTGCGGCTGGCGTTTGTGAGGCCCTCGAAGGCCTGAGGAGATGTAACCTCGTGAACAAGGTGTCGGTCAATGTAGATCAAACAAGTGCCATCTTCTTGCTCATTGACGATGTGGTCCTGGAAGACCTTGTCGTACAAGGTTTTGGGTTTTGACTCGGCGGAAGGCATGGTGGGGGGTAGAAAGTAGCTCGGAAGAGGGGATATGAGGGTACAAGATTGAAGATGAAAGAAGGGAGAAATAATAGGTGGGAGCTCAGATGAAAAGTAATATAGTGATAAGTACCAAGACCTGGGGGAACCGGAGTGGCAATGGATTGTTATATTTTTCTGCGCTGAAGCATCCGCGATGTCGCTGGGAAGCTTCTCGAGGGGCAGGGCCGATCTCGGACGGTCAGCGGCGAATAGTAGCAATTTTATTGGCCGAGGCTGTGACTCAGCGGAAGGCCGATATCGGTCTGCACTGGATGATCCAAAAAGGGGAAGGCGGCTATTTACGCTTTAGTACGGAGGCCGCAGGAGGCCCGTAGACCGCTCCGGACCCAAGTAATCAAAAACACGTTGATTGGCTGTGCGTTCCCAGGCTCCGCCTCCGATCGGCCCGCCACTTTTTTGACTCAACGCTTGTACGGCGTATGCTTGGCAGACAAAAAAGCCCCATTCTTATTCATTCTCAAATTGCATTTCCCACACGGAAGTTGCGAACTCGACGAGTTCTTGTGTTTGTAGTAACAAACACTACGTCGACTTCTTTACTACTCTCTGCTGGCCGTCAGAATAGAAGTCCAAAGGGGATCAGGAGCTGTGGTAGAGGCCGATCAGTGTCAAACCGGATTTTACCATCGGATTTCGTTATGGTCAAGTATGCTTTTTTGATAGATCGGGAGAGCTAAGAGCTCCACTCCCACTGTTCGATGGTGATCTAGGGACATGGACCTCGATTCCAATAGCCATATTAGCCTGCCCTCTTGCTGGATCTACCCAGTAGCGGCAATCGCGGCGAAGTTTTGCGAAAGTCTCCCAAGAGGCGACTTCTAAAATTACTGATGGTCTCTTGCACGCCCTGGGTGGTGGTCCTCGTGGCGCCGACGCCCCGTCTGCCTGCCTGCTTGATTCATCTGTGACAGTCAACGCCGTGGATCTCCATATGCCAGTCGCTCTCTATAATCCCATCGACGAAAGTATCAATGCGATCAGATGATCAAAAGCGCCCTGCAGCTTCCTCATGGCCTGGATCGGGCATCTTAAAGACAAGGATGTGGGTTTGGGGATTGAACGATATTTTGTCATGAAAAGGAAGATTTGCTAGTGGGTCAAGGAAATCTTGTGCGAAATTCAGGTTCAATGATGAACATAATGTGATCACTTCGCGTGCCCCCTGTCTGTGGCGTAATCAGATCGTCCTGTTGTCCTTCGCAACTTCCTTGAGTAGCCCGAGCTCTTATGTTTTGTGCGCGGAAAGAACTATAGAGACGAGCATGCGCGAGTGAGATCGCCCGGCAGAAGTCATCCATGCCATTGTAATGATATACTTTAACCAAGTGAGGCAATTCTTCGATATCCTGCGGTCCATATTGACTGGCCCTATCATCAGGCTCGCTCATCTTCGCCTTTCGAGAATAGAAGCATAAAGACAGTGTAGTAAATGGGGCCAGGGAACTTGATTATATAGTTAGTTAACTACATACATTATAACTTATGTAGTTATGTAACTTAATCTCGGGCACTCGTCAACCGCCAAATCAAGATGGTTCCCTAAGTCGTCCCCACAAAACTCAGCGCTGCCACAACCATCGTGTGGATGCCATTTTCCAAGGTCGGATGGATCGCTGGGGCAAAAAGATGCGAGTGGTTGGGGGGAGTTCACTTAATGTGCCTTCTTTTTCGTGCTTGGCCCAGACCTTCTCATCGGAGCCGCTCCAACCCCAGAAAACATAGGGTTTGTCGACTGCTGTAGCCAGATCCGGGAAGTCCTCACTGCCGGGGAGCGCCGCGCTTACCCTTTGATGTTTGTCGCCAAAGAATTCGGTGAATGACTTTTGAATTGTATCTGTGGTTTCTTGATCGTTCAACGTTGGAGGGAATGCATTGAGTGTCTCAAATACTGGCTCCTTCGGGGACTTGAACGCCTCGCATTCGGCCTTCACAATCCGCTTCACTGCATCTAGAGCCGATGTTCTCGTTTCATGGCTCATGCTCCTGATGTTCACTTGTAGGACAGCCTCATCGCCAATCACGTTGACAGTGTCACCGGCCTTCAGGCTGCCGACCGTCACCACAACGACTTCCTCGGGGTCAATCTCCCGGCTCACAATCGTTTGCAGTTTCATCACAATGGACGAGGCAAGGACGACAGGATCGACACACCGGTGGGGCATGCTGCCGTGGCCGCCTTGGCCAAAGACGGTGATCCGTAGACTGTCAGCCGCAGCCAGGAATGAGCCGGGTTTGCTGACAATACATCCAGGCTCCAAAGGGAAGACATGCTGTCCAAAAAGTACGTCAGGGATCGGGCAAGCATGCTTCTCAGGGTCGAACAGGCCATCGTCGACCATGGCCTGTGCACCGCATCCACGTTCCTCGGCCGGCTGGAAGAGGAAAATGATAGTGCCCGACCATATATCCCTCACTTTCAGTAGGGTCTCGGCCGCACCCAAATTGCATGTAATGTGCATATCATGGCCACACGCGTGCATCACGGGCTTGACGGCGTCATCCAACTGCGTGTCCTTCATGGTTTTTGTCGATGCGTACTCCAGTCCCGTATCCTCGTGAACGGGTAGCCCATCCATGTCGGCTCGGAGCAAGACCGTCGGACCTGACCCATTTTTGCAGATGGAGATGAGGCCAGTGCCACCGATCCCCGTGCGAATATCCAGATCCGAGGACAAGCTCTTCAAATGGGCCGCGATCTTCTCTGAGGTTTCATGCTCGAGAGTTGAAATTTCGGGATTCTGATGAAATTCTCGGTAGAGTGAGGCGTAGGCGCTCAGGTCAACCTTATTTTTCTTCAGAGCTGCCTTGAAGTCCATATTCAAGATATGGATTGTATTCTTCAAACTCGGAGTATTTGTATACAGCTTCTTGGTGGTGCGAATCTTCGAATTCTGTACCAGTGTGTCCTTGAATACGAGATGGCAGGAGCATGGTGAAAAAGTCCTGACAGAAAGCCTATCGTCATTGGGAGCTGTTGTGGATCTCTTCTATAGCTTTCAACGTTGGTTTTAGAGACCGCGGTTCATGGGTTCCGCCGCACGGCAAGGGATGTGAAAGCCACATACTCTGGCTTGGCTAGCTTGACCCAATAAGAAATGTCCTTAGTAGTGGCCGATTGCTGACCAAATCCCAGTGGTCATCCTTGATTGGATTGGAGATCTCGGGAGTCTTGACATCATCCGTGGATGGCCGAGTTTTGGCATTGAACAATCCCGATAATCAAACTCGTACCAAATTAAAGATAAATAATGGTGGGATTTTAGGATAAACAAGGGCAACAGGCAACGGTACGTCTATTACTCTTGACATCATAACATCCGCTGGTGCATCCGGGTCTTACTTATCTTACTTAGCTAACCCTCGGAGTTGAGGTCTACCTAGGTATGTACCACCCATAGCTGGATAATCACTGATCGCGAGCATTCAAGCCCTCAGAACAGCCTCGCGCCGTCGCTTCGCAAACTAGTCGCTGTTTTTGAGGTGTGTATTAATGGCCTGTCGCGTCGGAGTTGAAGGATTCCAACATCACTTCCAGCGCCTAGCACAAGTACTAGCAGCCGCGGTCTTCGTACACAGCTTTCCATGCGTCAAGATCCGCATGCCAACACGGTACCATCGTGCGCAATTGCAGTATGTCCGGCATGCAACACTCCCGTGACCGAAGTTCCTCAGACCGCGGAGGTAAACCGGCAACCCAACAGTTTGCAAGGAAGAAGCATTACGCGACCCCCGGCTACCGTCACCCCGCAGGATGGAATTGAATACTCCTGCTTTGACAATAGACTTCCGTCAACGACACCGCAAGAAGAAGGGCCAGAGGTCCTGAGTACAACCACCGCGCCATTACAAGCCAAGAGGGCCGTGAATAGCCAGATATACATACTCAAAGTATGCCGTACCCTCATCATATTTGGTGCTCCGATGCATCGCCTCGAGCGGTACGTCCACCATACAGGATAAGCGCTTGAGCTGAACATTCAATCCTTCTACATGCCCGGCTGTATGATGGTATCTTTTGACAACCGTCCGCACGTGGCAGTGTCCTTACAGATAGTTACGTGCATGCTGTGTACAAGGACGTCATTCACAAGAGAACTACCCTAGAAGCCGCGTGTATCGACCTTGATGAAACCATACAGAAGGATGACAATTATGCATTGTGGATTCGGGTCCTAGCATACGGGCTGGCCTCTGCGAGTATTGGACCTGTATCATACAATGCCCAACCTGTCGACCTACCTATCATCTTCATCCTGGGCACTTTGATCGGCTTTTTGGAGCCGGTACTAATCCCACGGTCGGATTTCTACGGCTACGTGTTTGAGATATCCGTCGCAATTGCTGCATCTCTCCTCGGCCGCGCCTTCGGCTCTATCCACTGGGGCCAGGGTCATAGCTTCTGCTTCTCAGCCATCAGGCATCTATCGTTATGATCCTTCCGGGATTCACCGTCACTAACAGTGCCATCGAGCTACAGTCCAAGCACATGGTTTCTGGAGCCGTTTGGATAGTCTACGCGATCGTGTATACTTTGTTTCTTGCCTTCGGCTTCACCATCGGCATCACCATATACGGCGCCATCGACAGCAACGCCACATCGGCGACCCAATGCAGCACAACTTTCTGGGTCTGTTGGCCTATCGCCTTCGTTTTGACATTCTCGTTCGCCTACATTATCGTGAATAAGGGAGATTGGAGCCGAATTCCGGCCATGCTAGTTATTTCAATGGCTGGGTGGGTGGTCAATAACTTCTGTGGGCAAGCGTTTGAGGCAGTATCATCCCTTGCTCAGGCTTTGAGGGCACTTACAGTCGGCGTCCTGGCGAATGTCTATTCGAGGATCGAGCACGGCGTGGCTGCCGCACTTATGCACCCCGCCATCTACATTCAGGTCCCTGGTAGCTTGGCCGCTTCGGGCAGTCTGATCATCGGGCTGGCGAATGCGGATCAGCTCACTAGAAATGGAACGGGTTCTCCCCCGTCTCGACAGGCAGCTTTCTCACAACTCGATGCGGGTTACACGATGGTCGAGATTGCCATTGCAATCACAGTTGGTATGTCTGTCAGTGTATTGCTAATTTATCCGCTGCGTAAGAAGGCGAAGAGTGGTATCTTCAGCTTTTGAGAAGGACTGGCCTCGAGAGTGTGGCTTATATACCTATTATGTCAAATAATAAGGTTAAATCGTACTACGCCCAAATTTGAGCTTAGAAATTGCCCATTTGAGATAGATAAAATCCTTATGTTGACAAAATATTAGGATCCGAGCGCGAGGGATGGATTAATAATGCTGCCTAAAAATCTCATAAAAATGCTCTGTCTCCTTTTCTTTCTTGCTGCTCTATTTCGCAATCGAATATGGCCGATTATCTTGCTAGTATGTACCAAGTCCGCTACGCCACTGAGGCCGATATGCCAGGTTTGTGCGAAATCAATTATGCCAGTTTCAAGAAATATCGGTTCCGCTCTGCCGTGTTCCCTGAATCTGATCCTGCGACCCTAAAGGATTTCAAGGCACTTAATGGGATGAAGCAAATAGCAAACCCCGAGATGCACATTGTTACGGTGAGCGATTCGACGACTGGCCATGTTGTTGCGTATGCCCGATGGTTTATTCCGGAAATTCTCGGAGTACCTCCCCATACCTGTAACCTTAGTGAAAGAGGTGCCGCCCAGGTGGCTGCCGCTGAAAGTCCACTAATTCATGCGCCTCGGCCTATGAACGAAGGGCTCTTTTTCGCACCTCGAAAGCTCCTAGCGGGCGCACGGAAGAGACATACCATAGCTCGAGATATAGGTACGTAGCTGTAAAATGGGAGCTTGATTCAAATATCGACTCACTGTATCCTCACTTGCAGTTCTTGATTTCCTAGCCACTCTACATACGCATCGTGGTCGTGGAATAGGCTCCGCACTGTTGCAATGGGGCATCAAGATTGCGGACAGCTTGCATACTCGAATCTATCTCGAGGCAACCTACGCTGGCTTACCGTTATATCGCAGGTATGGATGGGAGATCCTGGAGGAGCTCGTATTGGATCTAGAGCCACATGGGGAATACGGGAAGGAGGTTTTCATCATTATGCTGCGTGAGCCGCTGTCGATCGATTATCCTCAAACATGAAACCGCTGCAGAAGATCGGCTTTTGGCCCCCAGAAGTTACATATCCAGCGTCTGTGATATCATACTAGACTGCGACATTGCCTATATACGGCTCTGCCTTTTTAAGTAATTTGATTATATATACGGAGTAGTAGTAATGGTATACAGTAGGTTTAATACGTATTTATTATTTTGCTGAGCGAAGCAAAGCAACTAACAAATTTCAATACTTCAAATATATGTAAGCCCAATTCCAGTATACTGTTGGCCTATGTTGTACCCTTCCTTACCTGACCGTATTTTGGCTACGTATACTCCGTACGGAGTAAACCCTGCATGGTGCCCACGCGCCCGTCTATGGGCGATATCGCAGTCTACTAGTAGCGATAGCTCACAATTCAAAAAAGGGCGGAAAGATGTGCACACTACGGATTAAATGGCATAAAATGGAGGGGATGGCTGTGCTTGTACATATTGCAGGAGCATGACGCCGGATCTGTGATGAACGTGCATGAACGACGGCTGCCAACAGCAAAGTGGAGCAGAATCAACAGATGAAGCGATGTGATATGTCTGGCATGAGGTGCGTTGGTCACGCATAGCTATCGACCCAAATGCGCGCCGTATTTACCCCGCCCGGCGTGTTCTATTGCTCTGCCCATGTTCAGACCAGTAAACTGAAAACTATTTCCCTCTGTGTTTCGCCTCCCAGCGTTTGAAAGCCAAGCGCAGGAAGAAGCGATTATTCAGGGGGGAACCCATACCCAGTCGATACGGCTGGCCTATGCCTGCAGTCCTTGGTGCCCGAGGTCTCTCATCACTTTACATCCTGAAGAGCATTATGGACCGACTTAACCATACACGGCAGTAGGTTGATACGGCTAGGCCTGTTCTTCCAACCCTTTGGGCGTACTTCGACTACAATTGGAGGGACTATTTATGTACGGAGTAGGCCCAATATGATCACGTAGCAATAAACAGATAGGGATAAGAAACAAGGAATAGGACGAGTCCGAACCACACTAATTCCTTCAGCTGAACTAGCCATCACTATAATATATGATTCCAACCTGTTTGTTCTATTTCCCAAGAAACACCTGCATATGCATCGCATCGCTCAGCACCAAGGGGCCCCACAACTGCATCAAATGTGGTATTTTACGACTAGTAATTGGCTGTAGCTCGCAAAGTCCCAAAATTGAGCACAAAATTTGGGTGATTTCGATCAGTTGGTTATCTAGAATGCATGTTGGGTCTTTATTGATAGATATCCCGCATTCCACTGGCCATTTGTATTTGCCCATTTCATCCAAAATACAAAATGCCTCCAAAACACAGAAAAGGTAAAGCAAAGAATTCTCATTCAATGTCCACCGGAACGGAATCTATGTGTTTGGCCTGTGGGGCCCAGCTGAGCTCTCCGGATACCGACACCGAAAATGTCGACATAAATGAAGAATTCGGAGTCGAAGATCCAGACAGCGATGGAAATACCCCTCTCCACAGGGCTGTTCAGAGTGGCTCCCAGGCAGGTACATTGGCTTTGCTGAAACGAAATCTGCCTGTCGATCCTGTGAACAACTACAACCAAAACACTCCATTGATAGATGCCTCAGTAGAAGGCCATGAAGGAATAGTGCTGATACTTCTCCATCACGGTGCCGACACCGAGTCTCGCAATGCCCATGGCAACACGCCGCTTCTGGTTGCAGCTTTTAACGGACACGAGAAGGTCGTTTCCATACTTCTGAGCCACAAAGCGGAAGTCGATTCACGCAATAACTCGCAAAATACTCCTCTTCAGCTAGCAGCCTTTGCAGGTTATGATAAAATCGTTTCTAGACTTCTCGAGTCTGGCGCCGAGATTGATTCATGCAATAACGAGAAGAACACGTCTCTTCAGCTGGCAGCATCTGCTGGGCATGATAGAGCTGCCTTTGTACTTTTGAGCCACAAAGCTGAAGTAGATTCATGCAACGATACTGGGAACACATCCCTCCAGTTGGCCTGCACCGAGGGGCATGAGGAGGTTGCGCGGATTCTTCTTCAACATGGAGCAGGAGTCGACAGCTTCAACTATGATGGATACACCCCGTTGCACTTTGCGGCCGAGAACGGTAAAGCAAGAATCGTTGCACTCCTCTTATCCAAACATGCAGGGCACAGCAGAATGGATGAAATAAGAAGAGTTCCGCTCCATTTGGCATGCAACAAAGGTTTTCGAGATATCGCAGAGATGCTTTTGAAGGCCGGTGCCGATGTCAATGTGGAGACCGATGGGAAATGGACACCGTTGCATTTCGCATGTGCTAAAGATAAAGATCAAAAGGATGGCGAGATGATTGATGTTATCAAATTTCTCATAGCCAATGGAGCTCGAGTCAATCAAGCCACGGATACCGGCATAACACCCCTTCACTTCGCGTGTACGTCTGTACATCCCAGCGCCATCGAATATCTTGTTCGCAAAGGGGCAAATATCCACCAACAAAATGATGAGGGAGAATCGCCTTTTCAACTTGCACTTGAAGCGCCTTCTATCAGGGAGTATGAGCCCTTACTGTATGAAAAAGCTGGACTTCTCCGCACAAATGAAGAGGGATGGTCGGTTCTCCACAAGGCCTGTTTTGAGAACACTCTTGAGAAAGTCGAAGCTCTGCTTAGTGATGTTCGACTCGATCCATCAATTCCTAATGCTGCAGGTAAAAGCGCCCTAGGACTAGCGGTTGATCAGGGTTATCAAAGTCTTGCTCTCTGTCTACTGGGTTCAGAGCAATATTATCCCGCAAGTCCGGTCAAAAGATGTGGATGTTTGACATCGCGAACGGAGCTTTCCGACATCGAGACAAAATTGAGTCAATACTACCGCGATAGCACACTGTCGGACACGCAGCTCGGTTCCATCGCGTATTGGATGATCGCCAACAAGAGTGAGCGTTTTTTCGAAAATCTTCCTCAGCCTGGGCTTCATAAATCACCCCACTACAAGGGAGGAATGCATGCGCTACATATAGCTGCGCAATATGGAAATCTCAATTTGATTCAAGGGAATCTCTCAGATCTCAATCCTGATGACACGTCAGAGGATGGATCAACCGCCCTTCACGCCTCCGCGGCATTTGGCCATCGGGAGATCACCGAAATACTTTTGCACAGGAACCCGATATCTCACAACGGTCAGGTGGCGCTTAAATTGATTGTTGATAGGATTCTTCAACCTGACAATCAAGGAGAGTCTCCATTTTCACTGGCCGTGAAAGAAAAGCATTATTTGTTGCGAAATTACTTTTGGGATGAGCTTCGCAGGTACACAATGAACAAAGACTTCCAACAGGCGGATCCAGATCGAGCGGAGAAAATTCTGGAGCTTGCTTCTCGCTTTGAAAGGCCAGGAGAAGAAACATATCTTCTGGCGTTCCTGAAAAAGTGGTTTGGTGAGCCTAGTCCCGAAATATGCAACAAAATAAATTTGCAACCAAAGGATTGGAATGTACTTCACCATGTGGTACATCGTGGCGAAGTTGTTGCATTATGGTGGCTCCTCTCAAATGGGGGCCATTTTGAGAACCAAGAGATAAATTTTGCGCACCTAATTCTTGAGGCTCGACAAAGCGGCGAAACCACGACTCTGATGTCCGAACTGCTCCAAAGTCCGCCTAAAATAATTGAACAAGCAACTATCACCGACAATGACGACTTGACACGTCGTCCTCCAATGCACTCGGGCTCCTCTCTGAACAATTACCAAGTCACCATCGTCGATTTTTACACAAAGAATGATCAGGTCGACTTCCAAGTGATTCAACGACCGCTTGATCATATCATCTACGATCAAAACCTGGGCCCCAATAAGTTAATGGAAGATGCTTTGAGTAAAGATTATCGCCATCTGGATTCTTTGAAGCAAAAGTTGAGGACGAGAGACTTTACTGCGGAAGCAAACAGTCGATCTACCAAAGCAGCCAAAAAAGCAGACTTGGGAACTCTGGAGTTCCGCTGGCTGCACCTTCCTATAAATCATGTACGAATTCAATAAGGAACAGACTCATTATACTTGGACTAACTTTTACTCAATTAACAGGTAGATATTACCGATGTAAGCATTCTATGTGAATCATTGGGAATTATGAAAAACTAACAGATATAATAGGATCTTTGTCAACTTTTATCTCATGAGGCTGGAAGATCACGGTAGTACGATCGTTCATTGGCCACTTTCTTCAAAAGAAGCCAGGTCCCTGTCATTGCTGGACGTGGAAAGGTCTTTCTGAAACCGAATTGCTTGGTATGTTGCTGTATCTTACCATGACATATTTTTTCTGATAGGTTATCTATTTTTAAAGCGAGAAGCAGCTTCTTCATATGATCAGGCTAGTCGCAATACACAAGAACTTCCCAGTACAGAAAGAATTGCAATTCATGTGAGTCAATCAGTTCCAGATTTCGCGAAGAATCCGCTGAATTGGGTATAGATGCCATATTTAACCAAAGCAATGCTCTCACCTTCTACGAAAACTTCCCAAAAGCCGGAGAAAGACGAAAAGCAACCAGAGATGGGTGTTTTGAAGTTTGATCTACCCTCTAAATCACATGAGCCCATGACACTTGACCAGTTTTTCTATCCATCTCTTGACAATGACAAAAGAGACAACGACCAGGTAGTTACGCGATACGTGACAGAGCGCACCAATGATGCCATCGGAAGCAAGCTAGTGGGAAAGCCTCGTGAGCGACCAATTCTTGCTATCGATCAAATATGGATCAGAGTGCTTGATGATAGTATGAGCTGACCACATGTCCCCTGGATCCCGCTCTATTCTAATGGGCCTGCAGAAACAATCATAAGCAGCTCCACAAATCCCACAGAGACATTTCAAGGGGGAGTTCCGGAACAGGTTCGCAGACTTATTACGTTTAATGAGGAAAACAGTCGCTTTGAGCGACCAAAGACGATTGATGCAATGATCGAGATCATTCTGAGCATTACGACAGGGTTGTTCTTGCAACAAGATTTCTTCCCAAAAACAGCAATGGCAGGAGGACAGACGGCAACTGAAAGCAAGAACGTGCTTCAAATTTTCCAGGAATCAGTGCGAAATATCGTATGTAGTGATTGACATACGATGTTTTCTTCTACGAGCAACTCAGGGTGTCACTAACAATACACTTCATAGATGAACAAGGAAGCCGTTCTTTACCAAAATTTTGTTGACACTCTGAAGGAGCCAGATTCTGATATCCACAGGCATGTCTTCATTAGAAAGACACCGAAGAATCCGTATCACGTCATCACCGCCGAAACCACAATGATCAGGGAGATCAAAGACATTCGTGATGAGTTGAACATACTTAAGGCGGTTTTTGAAAGCCAACAAGCAGTCTGGCATCACACATTCAAGACCGATGATTTGGAAACCTTCTCCGGATTTCGATATAGTCATCCTACAAACCCCACCCAGATTTTGTGGGAGATCGAACGCATTATCCAGGAAGCTGCTAGTGCTCATGAATCTGTATGTCTCCATCAAGACTTCTATGAGCTCTTTAATCTCTACTTCCCTCCCTCCCTTTGCCTCCTCTTCGCTAAGATAATACTGTTAGATCGATGCACTTCTAGAGTTGCGCTCAAAGCAAGCCAGTATCAAGGATGCCGAGTATGGAAGCCTGCAGGCTAACGACGCTGCAAAGCAAGCCAACACTTCGTTGGTTTTCACCATCGTTGCTATTCTTTTTGTAAGCAAACATCCTCGACATTCAGAAATTGAAGCTAAAGGAAATATGTATAGCTCCCACTATCATTTCTGACCTCGCTTTTTGCCTTGAACGTAACTGATTTCCCACATCTTAATGATACTGTGGCGTATGAAGGATGGTGGATTTTCCCGATCATTTGTGAGTCCTCCTGTATTTCTCCTCCCGTGTGCTTGTCATGCATTTCGAATCAAAATTGACTAAAATACTTTCCAGTCGGCACCTCAATCTGCGTGTCTGTTCCATTTCTCCTTCTTGCCTTTAATACCAGCCACCCTGTGGGCATATGGAGATCTTTCCGATTTTCAACGAGTGATTCTAAAAAGAGTGCTCAAGATAATTTCCTGTCAGAAGACAAGGCACATGAACTACCACAACCGTCTGCTGTGACGGGCTTTTTCAAGGGAATAGCACGACATAGATCAAAAAAAAATAGATCAGTCGAGGATGGTAATCACTGAGGGCTGTGCCAATAATGAAATGAGAAAATGCAGATGCCCCTAGAGAGAGGCAGGGAATTTGTTACTATATGCCACCGCGCAAGTCAAGCTAATAATATTGACGAAGTACTAGAGGGTATCGCTATCTAGAAATGACAAGACTAGAGAGGAAAGATTCTAAGTGAGGATAGAAGTAGGGATCGAGTAGACAACTCTGGTCTGTACTAAGCCCAATTAGGAAGTGTCCTACTTGTCCGCACCTTACTATCTTTCCTATGCCTCCATCGCTAACATCACGGAAGAAACGAATAGAGAGAGTTAGATACCCTTTGACAAATCTTGTGGTCTAAATCTGGGTCTGGCTTATACTGGGTCGTGCGGAATAGATTATATATAGATTTATATACGTCATGCGTTGGTGTATACATTCTTTTGGTCACACTCGGTGATAAGAGGACATATGTTCCTAGCAAAAGAACCGTTAAAATTCAAACTTGCCTCACGATCTAATATCCAATCTACCTAATGCCATATGCTAAAACGCCGATGCCGATATCTCTCAACCAAAAATTCATAAAGTATAGGAAGAAACACGGACCCAATAGCCTACCGAGGCGAAGAGCCCAGATCAACCACAATCCTCTTTCCAGACACTGAACCACTCCGCAACGTCTCGAGCGCCGCATTAATACCCTCTAATCCACCCTCTGCATGAACAATCTCTGGCAATGTAAGATTTGTCGATTGCAGAAGATCTTCCAACCAGCACACCATAGCTTCACCCACTGCAGGAGCGGTATGGAAGAGCTTAATGGGCACAGTGTGATATTGTATTCCCTGGTTCTTCTCTTTGGGCAGACCGGCCAATCCAAGTAGATGGGCGTGCCCATCAGGGTTAAGAGCCTTTTCAAGCTGTGTTGCTGTGTCTGTTCCGACTATATCAATGGCATATCGCAGCTTGCCCCCGGTGACACCGCGAATAATTTCCACCGCACGATCAGGATCATGTCGATCGACTAGTAGATCTGCCCCGGACTGCACAAGCTTGGCACCATGCCGTGCTGCATCGGCTACGCAAATCACGCGTAACCCGGCAAGTTTGGCCAGTTGAAGAGTTATCAGACCAGTAGTTGTTGAGGCTGCGATATGAATGTCAGCCGCCAGATCATAGTAATAGAGGAACTTATTATCTTACCTCCCCAGATAGCAACCCAGTCTCCACGTTGTGGCTTTTCTGAATCCAATAATGACGCGAAGCACTCTTTATGAATATCTGCGGGTATATCATTTCTGTCGAGCTTTTTGATGATATTAGGCAAATTAGGACCGGGGACTTGTGTTATGAGAGAGAAGTCTAGTCCAAATGAGACACCCAAAGCTAACGCAGCAGCGACGAATGCCACTCCGACAGAAGCTGAAGCGTGAATAGATGTTGAAGAAGGAATTCGAGCAGCATTGAAGTCGGTGGCAATGGCGTATTCTTGGAATGCTGCTTTTCTAATATCCCTGTAATCGGTTGATGGGACCAGCACAATGTCGCCTACACGAAGACGTGATGACCCTTTGGGGACTTGTAGTACACGGCCGGCTAGATCCCGCCCGTTGATCCATGGCAAGCTGGGGATACCAAAGTTGAACGCCCTAATCGACTTATCGTTAGTCATCGATTATAATCTGTGAATGCAGAATAGTAATACTTACGGTCCTTTCCAGTCAACAGGGTTGAGTCCGATTGCAAGGACCTGCGAATTAATAGTCAGCACCTCGTGTTATACCAGATCCAGTCCGCACAGGCCTGTCATACCTTGACAAGGATCTCTCCGTCATGCAAAACAGAGGGAATAGCATGATCATCTACCAATGCGTACTGTTCACGGGCCCCCTTGAGAAGCAAGACTCTTTGTCTTGAATCCTCAGACCGCGGCGAGGGGGGCTCACTCTCAGATCTTGACTCATTGGAGTAATCTGAGATAGGCTCCGAATATAAGTTGTGGCGGAAAGTAGTGGGGGTCTTCTGCAACCCCTCGAGTTGGAGGCAAGTAGAGGTGGTCGACATGATGTTTGGGGGTAGTAATGGCATGACTTGAAACTAGATCACAGGGAACTTGCTAATCCAACTATTAGGCTCTTTCTATATTGCCCTTGGTACCAGTTTATATGATTTCTCGGGCGAGAAGAGAAAGGCAAAGCACGCCTCTTTTTAGGGCGCGGGGTCAGTGATACCAATCCCTCCCATAGGAACGTAGGGCTAGTAGTACCTCCACTAAATGCTTGGCTCTGAATCTGCTTAGCAAGATGGGATAATTCCGTCTCAGATTTGCGCAATGAGAGCCTTCCCGTATTTCCGAGGTCTATTCGTAGTCCTTATCCATTGCTCATGGCGGGGCATAAATGGCGTGATAAACTGGAAGACTGTAGATCAGCGCTCTTATATTTGCTTAAAGATGAGTATGAGAACTGGAATCATCAAAGGGAAATGACAGAAACCTGATTAGCAATATATACAGGATAGTCCAGTAGAACCGAACATTAACTACTTTGTCAAATTACAAATTCGAAATTTCAAATGTCAAATGTCGAATTTGTAAGTTCTCCAAACTGATGTGATCCCGGGTTGCGATGACGAAACCTGCAACCCCAACCCCAGGATCTCGACACTCTGGACCTGAATCGCGAATATCTCTAAGATCTAGAATGATAATCAAGTAATTCACTTCTATCAGAATTGGTAACTTAAAGTGTTCGATTTAGTTATGGATATGAAAATATATATCTGATCACGTTCGTGGTAGTAACTGTAACACCAGGGATTACATATGTAGTACAACATACCTAGGTAGTTAACTAGGTAGCTCCGGATATCACTTATATGTAAATAGTATTACTCTGAGTCTACGCCATATATTGTATAGAATATAGAGTACAAATCCATATTTTCAACATCTCCATGTTCCTATCCGGATTCTCAAGTTCCCTTTAACAATTATCCTCATTGGCAAGCTTCAAAAAGATCTGAGTGTTCTAACCGTTTTCCAACCTTGATTATTTGCCTGCAGGATTTGTGCCGCGTTCTGAAAACTCCGTGCAAGCACGTAATTTCACCGTAGAACGACAACATAAATCAGTTGTCAAGGCTAGATCTCTTTGAAGCTAGACAGGGAGGCTAAAAAACCAAGACAAAACAATATTCCCTTACCGTTATTGCCAGACGCGCGGGACAGACCCTTCGAGGCAGTACAGCCGACAGCGTTTGATATGGGGAATAAATCTTGTGCGGGCGCTGCGGTTATAAACGAGCACAACCCCTTGCAAAATAATTCAACGACTCAATTATCCCTTCTATTTCATTATGACGAACCCCGAAAAACATGTTGCACCGAGTGACGAGGTGAACGGTGAAGGTTTGAATCCGCCGCTTGGTGGACCACGTAAAGGTGAGCATAGAATATGATGCTATTGTCGTTTAATGAAGCTGACCGTGACCCTGAAAGTCAAATGGTACCGTTCGTCGTTTTATAATGCCTTCATCCTCGGTCTTTGCAACTTTCTTGCTCCCGGAATTTGGGGCGCCATGAACTCTTTGGGTGGAGGAGGCGAAGAGGAACCCTATCTCGTTAACGCAGCGAACGCCTTGACCTTCGGACTCATGGTAGTCTCTTGTTTCTTTGGTAGTGTTATCGTGCGATTTATCGGCATCAAATGGACACTCATCGTGGGAACAATGGGATTCGCCCCATACGCAGCCGGGCTATACACAAACAACCGATTTGGTCAAGAATGGCTGGTTATCCTGGGCGCTGCACTTTGCGGCATCTCAGCGGGCATATTTTGGATGGCGGAGGCAGCAATTGCACTTTCATATCCCGAGCCATACAATCAAGGACGCTTCTTGGGATTCTGGCTCAGCTTTCGTGTTGGAGGACAGATACTCGGCGGTGTCATCAGTCTGGGCATTAATGCCCATCGGTCAACATCGGGCTCTATCTCATACACTGTGTATCTGATCTTCATTGCGCTGCAGGCTCTTGGTCCTTTTGCTGGTCTGCTTTTGAACAACCCGTCTCAGGTACAGCGAAAAGATGGAGTCCCTGTTAAACTCCAGGTGACAAACAGCATCGGATACGAGCTAAAGAGCATGGTGAAACTATGGATCAATCGCAAGTTTCTGTACATCATTCCATTCATTTGCCAGGCTGTTTACACAGAGGCTGTGATGTTTTCGTACGAGGGGTTGTGGTTCTCGGTACGGGCCAGAGCTCTCGGGTCCTTCCTTTCCGGCGTGCTTGCTTTGATCATCGGCAACCTTCTAGGAGTCTTCCTTGACACCAAGCGGATATCTCTGAAAAAGAGAAGTCGATACGCATTCTTCTTAGTCGTCGGGTGGCAAGGGATGTGCTGGATCTGGGCTTCGGTGGTGACAGCAGAGTTCCATAAGACAAACCCGATATATGACTGGACTGACCCAGGCTTTGGGAAAGCGTTCACCCTCTTCCTGTTCTGGGTCGCTGGCTTCCAGCTCAACTATATGTATCTGTGAGTCTAATCGCGATGATTGACAGTTCAGTTGGACATATGCTAACTGATTAGATTCTTCTTGGTGGGCAACCTTGCGGATGATCAAGAAGAGGTCGTCCGGATTGCAGGCTTGTTGCGTGGAACTGAATCCGCCGCTCAATGTGTTAGCGTACGTGCATCTTATCTCACTTCTGTGCAACATTAATACTAACGAGGTGTCTCTAGTATGGTTTAAGTAGCGTGAACATCATGGCCGCGGTGGGTAGTATATACCTCAACTTTGGCTTGTGGGCTATCGCGATATTTCCTGCCTGGCTCATTGTCAAGCAGGTCGGGGTAGCCTTTGGGGATAAAAAAATCGCCAGAGAGACTCCTGGTTTGCGTGAGGCCTCGGATCGCGACTCAAATAATGGTGCAAGTCTATAAAAAGAATTCATACAGCAGAACTACATTTAATTTAGAATTTGGGTATATCCCCTTGTCCGTGTTGAAAATATATACATTGAAAATATGCCTCTTCTATGATGAGCCTGTTCACAGGATTCGAGCAACCCAGGACACTTTTAAATCTATGCGATAAAACCGAATTCCCGGTTATCATGATGGAACACGAGCAACGCGAGGCGATGTCGTACGAATAGACCGATCATTCCACAGACAGTTTGTACTGCAACCATGTGCCACGCCAGTCGGTCTTCTCGCATTGGACCCATCCACACCAGCCAAAGATTCAAGATAGTGAGATTGCTCGATTCAGTAATTCGACCATTCTCATCTTGGGTAATTCGCACCAGTCGTAGGGTGTGTAATAAGCGCAGTGCGGTATCGATTAAAGGCGACGGGGGATTCGTCCACTCCGTGACAGAAGCATCTAGCAACCCAGTGGAAGGGCTGAACTTTGGCAATCGGTGGCGAGGACAAGGGATGAGTTTGAAAAGTTGGGGAGTTGAGTACAGAAAATTGAAGATCTGCGGGATGAACAGTAGCAGTAGGGTTTTGCTGAAATGCCCCAGGATACCAACCACGGCGAACACCATTCCTGCGAAATAGCAGTACGTGTCACCCACGAATACCTTCGACGGATACCAGTTATGGCACAGAAGGGCTGCTGATACACCAATAAATGGAAGCAGGAAGTATATCGACAATAAGTGCGAGTCAGTGGCAGGGTGCGGGTATGGTGTCATAGGTGCAAGGTACATCGCATCATTGGATAGCAATTGCATCGCAATCACCAGTGACTGAGCAACCTCGATACCGTTAATACCGGCCAACATGTTAATCGCATTCGGACAGAAGATCGCCACCGCAGCCATGTACATGTAGTACAGCCACCCAAGATCAACAATGTCGCCCAGGTAGGGTTGCAGCGGTACCGGGACGACGACTTGGGTGACGCCAAAGTCAACAAAGTACACAATGAGCATGGGGATTGCGGAGAAAGCAGGGATCAGGACTTTGTGTCTCCAGCGAATATCGAACAAGTCATCACCGATCCCGAGGATCACGACGGATTGCAAAGATAAAAGACCAGAAAGGTAAGATGCGAGCTATTCAATTACACGTTAGCTCAAGCCCTACCTCAGTGAACACAAAATCAAAACTCACCTTGCCATGCGGGAATCGATGAAGGAATCGGCCGTTCTCAATATGCTGCGATTCGATCACAACGTCACGGTTTCCACCGCCTGATGTGGCTGCCACGATATCCTTGTAAAAGGCAAACGGAATGAACATAATGAGCGACATCAGGTAAACAACTGCGCAGACTGCGCCCATGGTTTCAGGTCTAGATCAAAGTATTAGTACGTGCTATGACCTCGAGTCCAAGAGCCATATACATACATTTCGGGCCGGTTAGGCTTTGCCATATCTTTGCCCTTAAGTCCTGCTTTCAGAAATACAGGCCCGAGCCACCTGATCAGACTGAAGGCCACTGCAAATACTATACCACATAGCGCAATTGAAGCCACTAAAGGCGCCCCATCACCTTGGAAGGTGGTGTTGAGTATGGCTAAACCGGCCCCCACGAGGGCTAGTAGACGCCAAGTCTCCTTACGGGAGAGGGTGCTTGAGGTATGCATGGCGGACAAACGACCGGGATGGCAGGAAAAAGGTCCCTCTGCTGCGAAAAGAAATTCACAAGGAATTGACCAATGCAATAAGAGGAAATGTCCACCTCAGCGATGCGCAAGGTGTCTTCATTCTTAGAATACCCGATAAGCTTATCGTGCTCTGCCAGAGTTATCTGACCGCTAAGGTTGGCGGTGAGAGAGTATCCCGTGATGCTTGCGACCAAGAAAGGTAAAGCGACGTCAACCACCTGTATACCTCATGCGTGCAGATGCATAAAATCCAAGTCGTCATTGGCCAAGCTGTCTAATTTGTCAATATTATAGTTCAGTCCGTTTCGATGGGGGTAGTGGAGCGCCCCGAGATAACGGCCGGCTTTGCCGACTTCGACGCCGGCCATCGGGATCTCGTCACAGTCACCAGATTTAACTTCTATGGCAACCGTATTGTCACCGCTTCTTCTGATCACCGCATGAAAGTTTGGGATCTCAAGGATGGCCAATGGCAACTAATAGACACCTGGCGCGCGCACGATGCTGAAATTCGCGATGTATGTCCCCAAACAAGCCAAGGGTGCAATTCTAAGGCTGGCATTGTGACTCATGTACTAAACTACTATCTCAGGCCACATGGAATGGCCCATTCACGGGCCAGCATATTGGCAGTGTTGGAGAGGACATGAAATTGAAAATTTGGCAAGAAGATGTAACCCAGCCACCAAACTCAGGACGGCGTTTCAAGTCGATATTTCGCATGACTGCACCACAGAGACATCCATTTGTATCACTCGACTTTCGCAACATTGACCTAGAGTCATGGCTGGCTGCGATTACACGCGATGGCTTCCTCAGGGTTATGGAACCCGTCAGCCCCGATAGCCTTGCAGATTGGCAAGTTGTTGACGAGTTCCGTGTGTGCACCGCCCCCGAACGCGGGGAGGAAACAAGCTTCAAAGTCCAGTTCCATCATGACCCCACCGACATTACTCACACTGTCTTGCCGGACTCCGATCGGAAGAGCCTGTCGCTAATTGTGGCTGCCATGGACACCGTCAAGATCTATCGCACTGATGCAAACCGACTATTCTACCATGCAATTGAACTGAATGGGCACAACGGTCTTGTGAGAGATATCTCCTGGGCCAATGGCTCTGTGCGTGGCTATGATCTTATTGCGAGCGGCGGCAAGGATGGTTTCGTCCGCATCTTTGAAGTGTACACAGTGCCAGCTGGCCAAGCACTACAGAAGTCTAACGGCCGGAAGGGGGAGCGTCACACGTACTCACAGTCACAGTCACAGTCACCGTCACTCCGAGCGACATCGCAGTCCGGGATCAGCTCTGCCTTGGCAAGTCGTGTGCCTGGATCGGGGACTGATCGCCAACCCAGTGGGGATTCCCAATTTCGGCACTCGTTCAAACAGGTGGCTTGCATTGACAGCAAACATCTTGATGTCTGGCAGGTTCAATTCTCGTTCTCTGGTAAGTATTTCTTTGTTTATCTATAACCTCAAGTCTTTTCGCTCATGCACTACTAGGTGACTCGTTGATTTCCTCTGGAGATGATGGGACAGTTCGGTTCTGGAAAAGATCTATGTCTGGAGAATGGCTCGAATTTGCCGAAACAGACATGGCTTCCCAGTGATCTGCTCTTTCTAAGCACTGCAAGAGATTGGAAATTCTTGAAAACAATGCCCAATACTTGTCTCTTCTCATGCTCTCGGCCATTACCCCATTTATTTTTCTTTCACAATCAATGATACCCTTTACATTTGATTTCTGCATACCCCTGTGATCTCACTTGGTAGTATCTCTGACACTAATTAGTTGAATTCAAGGTGGATGTTTTGTTATGTCGAACTATTCCCATTACACGACCTCGGGAGGAAAGAGCGATGTTTGGAGTTGCCGTAGTTGGTGCCTCAACAATTCTCTTCTCCAGCTGAACCACTTTCAACCTTCTACATTCGTCTCCTATAATCCGTTCATTATCTATACATATTCATTGTTAGTTCACTATGGCCATCGGTCCGACCATTGGCACTGGCTTGTTCATCGGCGCCGGCCAGGCCCTCGCGGTTGGCGGACCTGCCTCGCTGCTCCTGTCGTATATAACACTATCCCTTCTGACCTATGCTATGACCACGAGCGTGGCCGAAGTATCCACTCACATGCCATCGCAACATGGGACACTAGTAAACAATGGCTACTTGTACCTGTCAAGGAGTGTGGCATTTGCTTCAGCATACCTCCGCTGGTACACTCTCGCTTTGTTCGTCCCATACGAAATCACATCAGCGGTGGTCAACCTTGGCCTATGGAAACCCGGCTCCACGATCGCAATCAGATTGGTTATCATCACCATCATTGTTGTTGGATGCAACTTTCTGCCAGAAAGACTCTTCAAAAGCTCCGAGCGATTGTTCACTGCGATCAAGATTGGCACAATGGTGACCCTCTTTATTCTCTCTCTGGCTCTGGGTCTTGGAGGTGTTGATGGGCAGCCCCCGTGGGGATTCCAATACTGGAAACGCCCAGGCGCCATGAACGAGTATATAGTTCGAGGTGCATGGGGACGAGTCTTTGGTTTCTTCCAATGCCTTATCGATGGATCCATTGCTTTCACGTTTGCCCCTGAGCTGATTGTGCACCGAGCGGAAATGCCAGCATCACTTGGCGAAACAGCCACTCTAAGCGCCGCCATCCCAATTAGAGTCACATCCGACGTCGCCCAAACAGCATTTCCTTATATCCTGAGCTCTTTGGCCATGGGCGTCATGGCTCCTTTCGACACAGGACGTTTGACAAACAATGGAACGGGCTCCGGGTTTTCTCCTTACCTGATCGGGCTCAAAGATGCAAATATTCAAATTGTGCCGACTATCGCGATGGTTGCAATCCTGCTCTCCGCGGTGGCTTCTGCGCGATCCTTTTTGTATCTCTCTTCTCGCACACTTTGTGCAATGTCGGAGCTCGGCCATGCGCCCTCAATCTTTTCCATCCGCAACAGTTGGAATGTTCCATATTTCGCCGTTGGGGTATCCGCCTTGTTCTCTTGTCTTGCCTTTGTTTCAGTGAAAGTCCCGAGTACAATCATGAACACCTATTTCCTTCGTCTCGTCACGAGTGCCGGTTTCCTTTCCTCACTTGTGTCATGCACCATTTATCGTCACTTCAATCAACGACTCGCAGTGACCAGGATTGCCAGGCGGTATAGTTCCTCTTTCCAGCCGTTTGGCACATATTTGGGTATGGTACTTAGTACCCTACTGCTACTAGGTGGTGGGTTGTGGGCAGCACCCAAGGGGAATCTGACTGGGTCTCGAGCAGCCAGACTGGTCATCGCATATATCAACATCGTTATATTTGGCCTTTTGTTCTTGTTCCATCGATTCCATGAATTTGTGCCCGTCGTTGAAGTTGAAAGACAAGTCGGTATCGGTGGACGCAGATATGGCGACCACGAAGGACCAAAAGAACCTCGCACACAGAAGATGTACCCGAGTCGGGGGAAACTCGACCCAATCCCAGAGGGTGCCGGGGCATTTGAGTTGCGACTCAGTCAGACCACGTTCGCAGAGCATTGAGTGTACATGATAATATACTGATAGAGATCGATGCGATGATACATGCTGATAAGATGGGATAGAAATGGAATCGGCACGTCTGCGACTCAGCACTGTTGTCTTTTATTATTAGGGATTAATTGTCGTTCCTTTCAAGTCATTCTTTGTGCTTCTTGTATAATAGCATTTGAAATATAAGAACTTGTTGCACGAGATCCAGTAGTTATGCCAGGTCAAGAGACTGGCTACCTCTTATGGATGTACGAAAACGGAAACGGAAGCTCGCGGCCGGTGTATGTGTGACAGTATATACCAGATTTTAGGTTGGGCGAGATGACTTCCCTAGTCCGTTTTAGTGCTCCCCCCTTGCCGCTTTTTGATCCTAGAGTAAAACTGAGCATGTCCCTGATTATTATATAATCATAAAACTCACCGAGCAGTCTCACCACTGCGCACTCACATACATTAGCTTTACTGTTTATTCTGCGGCAGCATGACTGCATTTTCATCTTGTTACAGTTCTTCCTCTCAGATTGAACTGTGTTCTTTTACTGTCAAACAATTTTGCACATTCATGATGTTGACCAATCGCTTTGTGTCTGTATACCTGCCACATAACCCTGCCATCAGCCTAGACCCCAAATATATAAAGGCAGTCAATCTCCTGGTTTCTAGGGAAAGCTTGATGCCTGAGTCATGAACCCCTAAGTCATATATACGGAAAATAATAATAATAAATTCTCTGGCAGTACTATCTTGAGCTGATCTCTTCCCTACTGCTGGAAATGCCTGGAGTGTCCTTCCACACAACCTTGCCAGGCCTTACTTCCAATCTGAAAGCAAAGTATACTCACAATTGAGCTTATCATGATCTCGGATCTGAAAATATCCTACAGCTTCAACAATTCGTGATCATGTGGCCATGATTCTCCGGTATGTCTCGCCCAGTCATTCAGGCAGTACAGCTGTCCTGATTCCTTCGAAGCAATTCACACCAATCATTCTATCGAAGGAATTCTGAGTCTGATAATACTAGACATCATCATTTATACGAACAGTATAGCGGGCTATAATTCAAATTCGCAAAGTTCTTACCATCTGCCATATACCTATGCATCTGGCTCCCAGACTTCGTGGCGAGAAAGGGGGGTGAATGAGTTTCCTCTCTTTTCCCTATCCTCTAGCTATGCTAGTCATATGTGAAGTCCGAAATGGTCCCGCTGCACAGATGATGCATCGCGATTTGTTGAGCGGAAAGCATTCTAGACAATGCATTATTTACAGAAGATACCCTGCTGTATGGAGAATCGATGGAGATTCGGAGTTTTACAATTTCAACAAATGGGCCCGTGGGGATATATGATTGTGGAATCCCCCGCCTCCCTCCACCAATACGATGGTAATGGTTGTTCTGAAAGGATGGGCGGTTACACCAATGAAATGCAGGGCACAATGAACCTAGATGCCAGGGTATCAGGTAGCCTCCAGTCATTTCGAATTAAGACTGCAGCCTACATTTACAACCGGCTTGCGAATCCAAGAACTGGAACATCCCCCATTGAGGAATGAAGGAATGGACTCGAGGAAGAAGAAAACATGAGTGTTTTCACTGTAGTATCTCTTTCTCACAAATACCTAACCCTGAAATAAAAAAATGCGATAGCTGTTCTCACACCACCGAAAACATGCCAAAGAGCATCGCCATACTGTAACCTGCCACCAATATCTGATCAACATACCACGTATTCTATTCATATTGACTGTTTCGTATAGGCTGCAGATAGCTGCTAGTAGCCTATCTCGGGCTCGACGAAGTCTCGCAATTTTGACGATTCTCCATGTGGCCATACATCAAGGTATGGCGGCGTGTCTCAAGTCATTTTAATGAACGAGGTTTTGCGGCCACCACCCATTCTTGATGGTGGGCATATCCCCACAAGCTATACACGCTAGTCACCGACACAAGCCGTATATAATTATTATGTGGCCTATGTCTTGATCACTCTGCGTGAAGACGCTACCACCTATACTAACAGTGCACTTTATTACAAGAAGCCCCCATCGCTCGTGCTATTATCTATATGCTATTGAACCTCTGGATTCCGGATTTTGTGGTAGAGCAAGATCTTCCTCTACGCATTCCTGATCCTCGAACCGATCCAATCGTACGTGGAGCCAATGATAATTACTCAATAGAGATGGACCTCTATGTTCCAATACTTTTGGATCACGCATGGATCGAGGCCTAGCGAACATTCTTGAATCTCGCCGTGAATTGGGAAAAGCCCCAACTTTGACGAAGATAGCCTACCCGGGTACAAAAGAGAGAGAGGTGAAAGCAAATACCAGGGTACATATGGATTCATGGAATGATAGGACAGCAGAATACGATTGTCTCGTCATATAATCCTGTGCCATCCACCTTTACGTATCTGCTTATAGATAACTTTAAATACTGATTTAGATTCTACACACGTAGATATATTTGCTGTAATATACCTTTTTTTAAAAAAAGAAATATGGCCCAACCTGTCGTTCTAAAAGAAGTCAAATAAGACTATCACTAGACTATTTATATTATGAATGGCACACTATCGGAACAGTTACTGGTGGGACACATTTCGTTTGCGTGAATGAGGTCTTTTTGCTTGCTCAATCGAAAGTCTGAAGATAAATTTCTATATCTTAATATTGAAAAGCTTGGGAACTATGTACAAGGTGCTGGTTTGTTGTAATTGTGATTTCTCCGGGATTTCTAATGACTCACCAGGGTGCTCAGAGCCAGCGCTCAGGTCATGCCCGCAGGTGCCTACTGAGTGCGTACTCAGAACAGACCAAGTTCCCAGGATGAATGCTGACAAGCGAGGGCATCCCGATCGGGAAAACTGCGACCGCCTAAAATCTGATACATCCTGCTACAGCATATTTACATATATGTAGTCTCGGAGAGAAAGAGAAATACCATAATAAATGATACAATACCGAAACCGGACAATTTGATTACTTTTATTTTATTTTTATTTTTATCCTTTGTACGTTGTAGTGGCAAAATGGCCAAATCACAAATATCGGAATCATACAAGCCCATTAATTCTCCCCCCCCCTTTTACCACTTGGGTCGGAAACCCCCGAGACTCTTTCTTTTCCCTTCCCTCTCTCTTCCGTTCATATTTTTATACTAATATATATCCTTGTCGTACTTGTCGTACGAGAACAGATGACCCTTTGCCCCTCTTTGAACCATATTCCCCCCATCTCCTCCGATCTCTTCCAAGCATTTTCTACCCGTTTTCCCCCATGTTACCTTTACTTCTATATGTTTCTTCATACTTCCTTATACTCCCTTACACTACCTGGATACTTCGTCGATCACCCCCAAAAATCCTTCTCATTTGAACCTCTAATACTCCCCGTAGGTAGCCCATATCGCCTGTTCTTCCCTGCATTCTCACGGATCTCTTTCCCGGACGGAGTCTGTAGGAATTTCTTTGTCCCCCCTCAAGAAAATCCCCGTCCTCTAAGAGGTTTGAAGGACGACCAGATCACAGATCCTTCCACAGTCAAGTTCCAAAATCTATACCATTTGCTTTTTGGGGGGATCTTGCTCACTTTGATAGCGATATCTCGCTTTACTGCATGAACCACAGGCATGGCTTTCATTGTAACCCAGTGGAAGGGCCAATAGGGCTGCCCCCCAAGCCTTATTATGGACTGAGGGTATAGCTGTCCTTCAATTCTTTTTTCCCCCTCAAATCAATTTCCTACTCATCCATCTAGATGCTAACTTTCACTTTGCCTGAATTGACTGTCAGGATGCCTCGGGCATCCAATGACATTCCCGTGACTTTCCCCACTTCATTCAAATGACGCTAGTCCTAATAAGGACTAGTGTATTCCGATGGCTTACTGAGAACAGTCGGTTTTGCAGATTACCAAAATTACCGTACCGGTAACCTTTGCAATTCAAAATTGACAGGAATCTGGGTTCACAATGAAATCCAGGAGAGAGGAAAGCCCTTGAATGGGTTTTTCGGGTCCTCCCCCTTCGAACGCCCTTTGGTTCCTGCCACAAGTCCAAACCGCGCTAATCCTCTTTCACCCCACGCACTTGGTCTCTCTGCCTACCTGGACGGCTCATTCTCTGCCTTAGGCCCCCGTAGCCTCCTCCTTCCTGTGTCCTTCAGTTCCTCAAACTCGCTCTCTTCTTTTTCCTCTCCTTTCCCCTACCCTCTTTCCTTCGCGCTTTTCTTCCTTTCTTCCTTCCTTTCTCTCCTTCAATATTTGCGCCAAACTCTTTTAATCTCTTTCCGACTATCGATTCTCCGACTCTCCCCCCCCCCTTTCGCTTCCTTGTGATCGCACCGTCTTCAACTTTCCAACTTTCCAACGCGTCCACTGTCCAAGACGGGATTGGAAACCTACACGACCACGAGAAAAATTGATATGCGCCTTGAATAGTGACAGCTTGGCTACGCCTCTGTCAAAGAACATCATTTTGTCTTCGCCTGAGAGAGGGGTTATCTGTCGGCGATGACAGATACCTCCTCCCTCGCCATCACGCACGCCACAACGGATTCCTATCCGGTTCACGCCCATCGCGGCTCCCCTGCCGCTGTCGACGGCGCCTCTGACTCCGGCGCACCCGACGAAGAACCTTACACCATCAAATGCATTTGCTCGTTCGATGAGGATGATGGTAACACGGTTTTCTGCGAAGGGTGCGAGACATGGCAGCACATCCTCTGCTACTACCCGGATAAGAAAGTACCAGATGTGCACAACTGTGTCGACTGCGAGCCACGGCCCCTTGACAACCGCCGTGCCAACGAACGCCAACGGCTGCGGCGGATCCGAGAGAAAAGTGAGGACGGTGACCGGAAACCAAGACGATCTGGCCCCAAAACACAAAAGAGGAAGTCCAATGATGCCGATGTGAACGCGTTTGGTCATGCACGACATGATTCGGGTTCCCGTGAGCAGCCACCGTCCAAGAAAGCAAGGGTGTCTCGTCGCCAATCGACTTCAATAAGTGGTACTTCGGGTCCCCCGGGTCTGCCGGCTGAATCGCGAAATCGTCGGTCCTCCACCTCTATTGCGATGAGCCCAACAGTTGTCCCTGGCCCTCCTATACCTCATTATTCAGACGAATTTCTCTCCCTTTATGACCGTGATGATTTATTTGTTGAATCGAAGACTATCCTCAACTATGGCGTGGAATTTGTCAATGAGATTGTTGCATGGCTGAAGGACCCACAGATCTTGGCGAAGGTTACCGATGGATTCAGTGTTGAAGACTTCGCCAAACGGTCGGAAGAGGCTATGGATCAGTCTCGCTGGCCCTCCTTGACAACGGAAACCATCACAGACTCGACAGTTGAGATCGGTGGTAAGCACCCAACCCACAAGATCTTGAAAACAAAGGATCCAGTTCAAATGGGCGATATTGTCGGTGAAATCTTTGGCAAATTAGGCCACGTCAAAGACTACAAAAAGCTCGACAGCAGCCGATGGGAGGAATTGAGGCACGCTATGCCTTTCGTGTTCTTCAACCGGCAGCTGGACTTGTACATCGACAGTCGTCAGGAAGGAAACGAGCTCCGCCATGTCAGGCGGTCATGCGATCCAAACGTTTTGTTAAAAATATACATCACCAATGGCCGACAGTACCACTTTTGTTTCGTTGCTAAACGAGACATCCCTCCAGGCTCGGAAATCACTACCATGTGGTATTTCGACGAATCTTTCTTTCCTTCCGAATCGACAGTCAAGGAGGAGTTCAAAGACAGGGTGGTAGATCCGAAGGACGCCGCTATCTGCATTAGCGCCACACTGGCCAACTTCGGCGGTTGTGCTTGTGGAAACCCTCAAGATTGCCTACTGAACAAGCTTGATCGTCGCGCCAAGCCCCCTGGAACCAAACGCGTCAAGGCGAAGCTGAAGGGCAAGGGCAAGAAGTCAAAATCCCTCGGTCCTTCTGCTGATAGCGGTCGCGCTGGCAGTGAGACGATTAAACATCCAGATGAGCATGACCCTACAGGCGATGCTCGATCAACTTCTGGTTCTGCGCGTGGTAGACATACTGGCAGTCGCGACATAAGTCCCACGGGTTCACATCAGCTAACACTGCCAGAGCTATCCAGTCGCGAAAGACGCAAGATAGCGGATGCCGAAAAGCAGTTCCAACAGCTAGAGCAGCTTAGAACCGCCAATCCCAAAAGGAAAAAGCGTTCTAGTGGCCCTCAGACTCAATCCAACCCTGCAAAAATCTCGCGCACAACCCAAACCGGTGACAAGTTCAAACCTTACCACGAGCCTGGTATTCCTCGATCCTCTGAAATCGCAGGACAACCGTCCCGGCGTCAAGTTACTTATGTCGACGCGCAGACTGAACTTTATGCCGACGACGTCGAACGCTCGTTCTTGCGCACGGAACGTCTCAGACGAGGATACAGACTCGACATGATTCATCCAACACTTATGCTTAAGATTCGGTGGTGCTCAGGAAATCACATCGGAGAGGACTGGGCTCAGCGAAATGCATGGGAGGCTGGGGACTTCAGTGTCGTGCCATCTGGAGTCCTCCCCTGGTGGTACGGGTGGTTCCCGCTCCCAATCGACGACAGGTCTCATATCGAGTTGCTCAAAGAAGATTCCGACAGGATGGGAATACCTGCTGACCACGGCCCCCTCGCGATGCCACCTCGGTGGTCCTTCCACCAGTCCAAGTACCCCCAGCCTGAATTCAACTATCATGGCATTGCGATCAGAGGAATCCATTATGACCCTCCAGCGCGATCTGTCCAAGATGATTTTGATATTCGGGGTGCCGTTTCGTATAAACCGGAATCTTCCGCGTATGGGACTAGCAGTGATCCAATCAAGCCGTCAATTCCACCTTATTGGCCATCCACTGCAGCGCATAGCTTTAGGATTTCTGAGGTTAGCAGTCGTGACAATCTGCATGTTTTCATGCCACCACCAAGAGCCTCGAATGTCTCGTCAGCACTTAGTCCTGGTTCCATGTCCACAGGGAGTCTTGCATCACCTAGTTCTCATGACACAGCTTCCCCAGTCTCTGCTGTCCCATCTTCTGGCCCTGCACTCGCAGCCACCCCTGCCAAAAAAAAACTCAGTCTAGGAGATTATCTGATTCGACGGGGCACAATGGCCACCACCCCGACTTCGGAACCCGCTCCTGCCCCAGCTCCTGTCCCCCCTGCTGGCGATCCTCGTTTACGCACCCAACCTTTTTTGGCTATCACGACGGTGTTTGGTGATAATCATGAACCTCACCGCAAAACCGAACCTAGGGGTGACAAGACCGAACCCTCCGACTCTCTGGATATCTCTATGGAGGATGCACCAGAGACAACACCCACCAAAAACCCGTCTATCTCTTCGTAATACGACCATCCGCGTGGTAGTAATGGTGGGCCTGTGATAAAAGGAAAATTCCCTGTGGATTTCACGTTTCTTACGACCCAAAATTTCTTTTCTCGTGTGATTTCATTTCGATACCTTACAGCGAGGCGGCGGGCACAGGCGTTCGGGCTACCTTCAACTTTGTTTTATTTTTTTTTCTTTTCTGTGCCGGCTTCTTTTTTTTCTTCCTCCAACTTTCGGACTCTGGGATGGCGTATGGCGTGGGATTGGTTCTTGGTTATGGGAAATACCATTTGGGTCAGGGTCTTTGAGAATTGTGTCTGCCTGAATTGCAGCACTTGATCTTTCACGATTTATCCAGTTTAGTCTTGGATATGTACTCTTTTTGAGACGGGGCTAGATAGCTTGTATGAACAATGTAACTTTTTCCTGTTTTAATTCCAACTTTAGTAAGGGAGCATAGATTTCTGCCATGTCATGCGCTACTACACCTTGCTAATGTCAAGGCTGGATTAGTTTTCTATTCAAGTTTCAATTTGACATCCGAACTAAGTGTCTTATATGGGTGGGAAATGATAGGCCGAGAGTACAGTATGACTCAATCCCGAGGGGCCAAACCCCTCGTTTTTCTTTACTTTATTATCAGTTGTCCCTTCTACTACTTATATCTAATGCTTATGCCATTGATTCTAGTGCAAGATGAACAATTCTAACGAAACCCTCGCGCTGAACGAGATTCATCCTCGCAGATCTACAGAGGTATCTACAGAGGTTTCCGAGATTGAGCAGCCCACGCTCGCTCCAGCAGATGGAGGCAAAGCCGCATGGCTGATGTTAGCTTCAAGCTGCTTCATTCAAATACCAGTCTGGGGTCTGTTGTGACTGGGCAAAAACACCATCTAAATACTAACAAGCATCTAGGATTCTCTACTGTCTTCGGTGTCTTCCAAGAGTACTACTTAACACATGACGTGCTACAAGGAAGCAAGAATGACCTGGCGACTGTTGGAACTACTTCCACTGTATGCAAAGGATAAACGAGGACGACTTCGGTCTAGTCTAATTGTTTCATCATAGGGACTTCTTTATCTTCTCTCGCCCATCACCTTCACGCTTTTAACGAGATACCCGAAGTTACAATATTATTGTGCACCAGCAGGACTGGTCATCACCGTGATTGGATCTCTATTATCCTCGTTCTCAGTGCAGGTGTGGCATTTGATCGCCACACAGGGCGTCATGTGCGCCATTGGGAATGGACTCTTGTTCAGTCCGTCTTCCCTGTATCTTGACCAGTGGTTCTTGCGTCGGAAGGGCCTTGCTATTGGAACTATGTGGGCTGCAAAGAGTGTTACTGGAGTTGCCTTGCCTTTCATTGCTAGTGTTTGTTTGAATAGGTTTGGCTCTAGTACTACACTAAGGGCTTGGACTGTTGTTACGGTATGAGCCTGCTCTTTCCTCGGTATTTTGGTGTTTTTGAATCGATTGAAGCATAAGGCTATGTGTCTTGGGTTCAATGCCGAACCATTAGGCTATCAACGATCTTCACGTCCTCAGGTTACCGCTGACAAAAGTCTGAATTGTTGATTTAGCTGTTAACCACTCTCGTGGCCTTGCCATTCATGAAACCCCGTATACCAGTTTCGCCATCTGCTTCGGCCCGTCCCTTGGATCTAAGCTTCCTCAAACAAAGCACATTCTGGATGCTGCAGACGGGGAATATTATCCAGAGTTTTGGATACTTCTTGCCAACGACATTCCTCCCTTCTTTTTCGACAAGGACTGTCGGCCTATCCCAGAACACCGGTACAATGCTGATCTCACTATTCAACGCAACATCTGTCGTTGGCGGTATAGCCCTGGGAGTACTCTGTGATCGCTTCTCCGTCACAAACATCATGCTGCTATCCTCGGTGGGTTCGGCGTTATCAGTACTTCTATTCTGGGGTCTGGCATCATCCTCCGACTCAGACTCGTCGCAGACAGCCATTGCACTTCTTACTATCTTCTCCATCACGTATGGCTTCTTTGCCGGTGGATTCAGCTCCACCTGGTCTGGAGTCATTAACCAGATCAAGCATGACTCGTCGCCGTCACTAGATACTGGACTTGTGTTTGGTCTTCTTGCTGGTGGTCGAGGTATTGGAAATGTTATCAGTGGACCGTTGAGTACAGTGCTGCTTCAGTCGGGGTCTTTGGGGGATTCGAGTGGTCTAAGTGGCAATACGGGCTACGAAACACAGTATGGAACGCTGATTCTTTTCACTGGAATCACCGCCTTTTTCGGTGCATGGAGCTGGATGTGGCGGTTCATTAGCCCTGCACTGCAGTGTGTCCGTTGATTATTCGGAACAGCGCAGGCAGAGAGAATACATGTAGGCAGTGGTAGTGGTGGTTGGTCGATGCATACTTGAAGAAGGGGTGCCAGAGACAAAGCGAGGTAGATAGAGTCAGGGAGTAGCTATTTCTTCATGGAAGTATTTTATTTAAACTATTCTTTTTGAAGAATATAGAGAAAGGTTGGACTTGAAATGGAGTGGAATACCGCTATACCGTGTCACGTGAAGTCTGCGGAGCTTCGACTCCAAATGCGCGTTCTTCAATCCCAGCCCCGACAACTTTCCTCCATATCACTGCTGCAACCAGGGCCACTGCCCTATCCACAACAATGGCAACCGATGCCGCGCTCCAAGATCCTCTGCTAGCACTCCGACGTGCGATTGCCTCTGGCAACCTCCCAACACCAACAACCTCGTCCGAGCTCTCCGACCAACCTGCCACAGACAACCTGGCCAAAGCCACACATCTCTACTTCGCCCAACCAGTTCCTCAAACCATCGCTCTATCAACCCTCACACGATTCATCTCAGCATCTACCAAATCCCCTGTTGACCTGCGCAGTATCCTTTTCGCCTGGCAGAACAAAGATGTCGCCATTCCCGAATACATCGCTAAGGCGCAGGAATTCAACGAAGCGCTGAAGCAGCAGACGCCAGAGGGTGGCAAGGAGGAAAGTGTGCAGATTCTCATCTTCCTCGAGCGTCTTGACCTGTTCACCTGGCTAGAGGGTGCCTCCGACGACAGCGAACACATCAAGCCCCTCGAGGGAGCTGCTGCCGCTGCTGAGGCCGCCGCCGCGTCTGCAGGTGTTGCGCAGGCCGATAACGCCGCCGGGATTGCCGCCGGCGCAATTGGCGGCGTCACCTCCGTCCCCAGTGGAGCCGCAGGAGCAGCCCAGCCTGGAACTCAGGGCCGCCCTCAAAAGCAAATTGACCCACGACTACAGGAGATCTACAATGGGGAGCGCAAGATCGGTGACCGCAACACAGTGCTGCGGGGAATCAAGCCGACAGTGAGTTATGAATTACCCCCAAACAGGATACGATAGACCATAGCTAACCCCACCCCCCAAGGACTTCTCACACGTCCGCAAGAGCGCCGAAATATTCCTCGACCGCAACCGCAATCGACCAGGCCAGCCAGGCGCCAAACCAGGCAGCAAGGGCATGGTCCCCGCTCCATCAGCCGGTCTCTCGATGGCTCCCTCGCGCAAGTCGAGCTCCTCCCACTCCCGCCCCGACCCAATCATCCTAATCTCCCCCTCCGCATCATCCCTCATCCGCATGTCGAACGTCAAAACCTTCCTCGAAGAAGGCATCTTCGTACCCCCGGACCACCCAACCCTCTCCAGCGCCACAGACGCCAACCTCGTGAAGCTCGAGCGCCCGCTCCGTCTGAACGGCGACGCCTCGAACCCCAGCGCCAGCGCAAGCTCCCGTCCCGGCGGCAAGCCTACACGTCCAACCAAGTTCATTGTCGTCGATGGCACGACAAACTTCAAACCAGAGTACTGGAACAGACTTGTTGCTGTCTTTACTACCGGCCAGACGTGGCAGTTTAAGTCGTACAAGTGGTCTTCGCCGCCGGAGCTGTTCAAGCATGCTACTGGTGTTTATATTGGTTGGCGTGGTGAGGACATCCCTGCTCAGGTTAAGGGGTGGGGTCGTGGTGTGGAAAACTTTGCTGTTGAGCGCTGGGACGAGAAGAATGGTATTCATGGTGGTGGGCGTTGGCGGGATCGGGAGGTTGTCGAGGGTATTTGGACTGCTATTGAGGAGGGTATGAGACTTCGTGGATGGGGAAATAAGTAGACTTTTTCTTTTTTTTTTGTCTCGGTTTCCTTGTCATCTTGCTCTCTCAATACCCTCAATTCTCCAAGAATATGATGACCATCGGCATTCAGGGCGCAGTTCTAGGCGTTGTGGTTGTCTTTCTTTATTTCTTTTTGTTCCTATCATGTTCTATGTATGTATGGCTGATCTAGCCCAAAAATATTGAATTCATTGGAGATTTAATCTGTAATTTGGACTCGTGCTCTATATAATTCGTAGCAGGCACATTCTAGTAGTACATTGACCATTTACTTGGAAGATATGAGAATATAAGATCATGTCCATTGCAATTCCCAATAAAAAGAATAATATGACATACACAAGCAGACCAGAACTCACTCGCTGTGCCCCGGGTAGAACGATGCAGGAACTTAAGGAAAACAAGGCTCATAGGAAATAGAAATCGATAGAAAAGCGAAAAAAAGAGATATGGAATCATATGACATGCTCAGATGAAAAGGGATCAAAAAAGAGATGCAAAAGAGAAGATGAGTTGTATGGAAGAGACAAGAGAGGAAAAGGACATGCAAGGAACGCCGTATCAGATGCTCAAAAAGAAAAAGAAACAGCCTCCGATCTTTCATGTTTTCAATGTTGTTTTTTGTTTTTTTCTGTTCTTGAGTCTTCTGTTTCAGCACTCCCCCAAGAGGAGAAGAGAGAAATAGGAGAAAATGCGAAGAGTAAGGGAATATAAAAGAGAAAAGAAAAAAAAAAAACAAAAGCAATGCCATCCAAATATTACAAATATTTTCCAGTTCCGGCCTTCTCTATAACATGAGCCATCGATCATAACGTCTTTCGTTCGGAGGGGGGGGGAATCTCGTGGATTAAAAAAGGGAAAATGGATATGGCAGCCAGACAGATTCGTCACGAGACTGTGCTGGACTGCATGCGGAGGAGAGAGTAAAAAGTAAATAACTTCGTGGTCGGAAACGATCATGACGAGATTGATGAAATCGGGTCTCTCAAGGTCGACCGGATATTTTATGTCCCCTTTTTGTACAGGGGGAGCGGGTTTCCGTGTGGGGGCCACAAGCATGAGTGCGGGTTTTGCAGTGTGGTTCGATTCGATCTGTGCCTTGAGAAAAGGGAGGTCGAATCCAGATGCTGAACTGCAAGTGTTGAATTTTTTTTTTCCGGGGCAGATATAATGCACCGAAAGAGGGGGCTCATGAGGAGTCGGAATCGCAGTGATACGATTCGTCTTCGAATGGGTTGCGGACTATGTCAATGCTTGTGGGCGGTGGTTGTCAGGCACGGGTCGAGCGGCTCATGCTGCGTTCTGGGATTGACGGCGGACCGACTGGCGTGGGCGAGTATGAACGCGGACCTCCCAAGATGTCGACATCGTGTTCTTGCAGAACGACGGAGTATTTGGGGTCACGCAGGAACTTCGGGACAGAATCGCTTGACATCAGCTTGAAAACGGAGGTTTGAGCAAGCTCGAACAGGTGCACCACTTCTTGGAGACTCTTGAACATGGACTCATCGTCTCCCACGGCCTTGGTCATGCGGCTGGCGAGGCTGTTGCGGAGCGCGTGGTCGATGTTCAGCTCACAGGGTGAGCCGGGAGCCAAAAACGCGTTGTACAATCCATATGCTGCGGCCAAAGTTTCCCGCACCGAGTCGACCTTGTTAAATGTACCCATTTTCTCGGCCTTGTGGTAGTTGGCAGTGAATTCCGAGACATCGAGGTAGAAAGACAGGTTCTCTTCACAGAGCGAGTAGCGAAGGAATTCACGGAAGAGCAAGCGGAGAGCGGGATCCTGAAGGATATGGGTCAATCGGGCGTTATTGGAGTCGCGTGGCATGCCACGACTGTCGTATGTCGTCGCAACCTCGCGGGTCTTCTCGCGCGCAATCCATCCACATACACGCTGTCCGCGCTCGGTAATGCCGTAGATGGCATACTTGGAAGGCTGGAAATGAGCATTGGTCCCGATATCGGGGAATTGTTTGTCATCTTGAATCATCGTGATCAGGCCATACTTCAGGAACAGCTCAGAAATCAAGCAAGTCTCCCGGCGCTCAATAGTAGTTGAACAATCCATCAACCAGTCCACCGATGCCTTTCCAGTGAATGTATTGCTATAAACCTTTCCATCCAGAAGCTTGCGCTCTCGAGCCACCTTCACACCAACAAGACCATTGGTATAATCACTAAGAGAATCCGAATCCGAGGTTGAAATACTACTCTTCACATTGGGGCCATCCTGACCGGCAAAGCGGCGGAAGATAACCTCGATTGTCGCGCGATCATGAGACAGCTTATCGCTATCCGTGTCACGCTCTAGGTTCACCAGCTGCATGGTGTTGCGTGGCGACTCTAGTACATCCATCACGTGACGGGCGGTAATGCCATTCCGCTGGCAGAAACGCTGCAGGATGTTGATACCCTTTGGAGTGAGCTGGAAGAGGGCGCCCTTGAGGGGGAAGATCAGAAGTGCTTTGCCGTCGACAGATTCAATGAAGCGCGCATCGACAAAACGCTGGCAGACGGATCGGGCCATTTCCTTAGCCATGGAGAAAGTGGTGGTCGTGGTAGTGGTGACGATGCGGGAGGGGTCTTTTGGATCGGGCATGCGATTGGACTGGGAGAACTTGAGGGAGCCCAGATTGTTGACGGCCTCCTCTGAGGTGAATGTGTGGTCATATCTTGTGAAACGAACGCGGTGCGAATCCAACTTCAAGCTGACCATCAATGTGGAGAACAAGTCCATGAAATCCTGCGCAAATCAGCCCAATTGTTCTAAGATTTCCCTTTCATGATCTCTTTTTTTTTTTTTTTTTTTTAGAAAACCTACCTTGGTGAAAGGGCGCTCATCCTCGGTCATGCGCAATAACCTTGACGAGGTCTGATGCATTTTGGGTGCGGGCGGGGAAGGGCGGGTTTCGTGGGGAGGTGTAGGAAGACGCTGGATTGTAGGAATACGCTGGAGAGTCAAACGACGCTGTAAAAGCGAATTGGGGTTTTCAACCAGAGCCGGAGAAGAAGGTCGCGAAGTTCCGGTCAATTGCTCGTAGGTGTCGTCAAATGGTGGGGTCACAGGGGTTGCGGAGAGCTTATGCGGTCTCGACAGACTACCGTATGAGGTCGAGGAACGGAGTGTACTTCCAGACAAACTAGCGAAAGCGTTTGAAGTCTTTTGGGCCAAGGCAGCGAAAGAGCG